CAATCCTACCTATTATACTAGCCCCCCCCCCCCCCCCCATACCTTACCTGCGGCCACGCCCAATGTGACCCCGACTGAGCATGTGACGTCACACCGTCAGCTCTCACTACATTGGCTGTGAGTGATCATGTGACGTCACACCGTCAGCTCTCACTACATTGGCTGTGAGTGATCATGTGACGTCACACACCGTCAGCTCTCAATACATTGGCTGTGAGTGATCATGTGAATGTCACACCGTCAGCTCTCACTACATTGGCTGTGAGTGATCATGTGACGTCACACCGTCAGCTCTCACTACATTGGCTGTGAGTGATCATGTGACGTCACACCGTCAGCTCTCACTACATTGGCTGTGAGTGATCATGTGACGTCACACCGTCAGCTCTCACTACATTGGCTGTGAGTGATTATGTGACGTCACACCGTCAGCTCTCACTACATTGGCTGTGAGTGATCTTGTGATGTCACACCACCTGCTTTCACTACATTGGCTGTGAGTGATCATGTGACGTCACACCGCCGGCTCTCACTACATTGGCTATGAGTGATCATGTGATGTCACATCGTCAGCTCTCACTACATTGGCTGTGAGTGATCATGTGACGTCACACCATCAGCTCTCACTACATTGGCTGAGTGATCATGTGACGTCACACCGTCAGCTCTCACTACATTGGCTGTGAGTGATCATGTGACGTCACACCGCCGGCTTTCACTACGTTGGATGTCAATGATTATGTGATGTCACACCGTCAGCTCTCACTACATTGGCTGTGAGTGATCATGTGACGTCACACCGCCGGCTTTCACTACATTGGCTATGAGTGATCATGTGACGTCACACCGTCAGCTCTCACTACGTTGGCTGTGAGTGATCATGTGATGTCACACCGTCCGCTCTCACTACATTGGCTGTGAGTGATCATGTGACGTCACACCGCCGGCTTTCACTACATTGGCTGAGTGATCATGTGACGTCACACGTCAGCTCTCACTACGTTGGCTGTGAGTGATCATGTGATGTCACACACCGTCAGCTCTCACTACGTTGGCTGTGAGTGATCATGTGATGTCACACCGCCAGGCCCCCATGAGCTGATTGCAGTGCCAGTTGGGCCATTATGAGGAGGATTTGTAGAGCAGGGCTGATCATGGTTGGTGAACAGTGAAAAGTGAGCTCATCCAGGAAGTGTGTTGGCACAGCAAGAGGGAGAAGAGGCAGAGAAAGATTGTACCTGATTGGTGGAGAAGAGCAGAAGCTGATTTATTTCCTCTGGAGAAGGAAGAAGAAAAAGTGGTCTTAAAGTGAAGAGTGAGGAGAGGGAGCTGATGGCAGCGAGGAGGACTGGTCATGGAGGGGTGGAGGAGGACTGGTCATAGACTGGATAGAGAAGTGGAGGACTGGTCATGGGCTGGATAGAGAGGTGAAAGAGGATTTGTCATAGACTGGATGTTGTGGTGGAGAAGGACTTGTCAGACTGGATGGAGAGGTGGAGGGGGACTGGTCATGGAGAGGTGGAGGAGGACTGGTCATAGAGTGGATGGAGGGGTGGAGGAGGACTGGTTATAGACTGGATGGAGAGTGGAGGAGGATTGGTCATTGAATGGATGGAGAGCTGGAGGAGGGCTGGTCATAGGCTGGATGGATAGGTGGAGGAGGACTGGTCATAGGCTGGATGGAGAAGTGGAGGAGGGCTGGTCATAGGCTGGATGGATAGGTGGAGGAGGACTGGTCATAGGCTGGATGGAGAGGTGGAGGAGGACTGGTCATAGATTGGATGAGAGTAGTGCAGGAGGACTGGTCATAGACTGGATGCAGAGGTGTGGAGGAGGACTGGTCATGGAGAGGTGGAGGAGGACTGGTCATAGACTGGATGCAGAGGTGGAGGAGGACAGGTCATATGCTGGATGGAGAGGTGGAGGAGGACTGGTCATGGAGAATGGTCAGGAGGACTGGTCATAGACTGGATGGAGAGGTGGAGGAGGACTGGTCATAGGCTGGATGGAGAGGTGGAGGAGGACTGGTAGTAGACTGGATGGAGGTGGAGGTGGATGGAGAGGTAGGGAGGACTGGTCAGTAGACTGGATGGAGAGGTGGAGGAGGACTGGTCGTAGACTGGATGGAGAGGTGGAGGAGGACTGGTAGTAGACTGGATGGAGATGTGTGGAGGAGGACTGGTCATAGACTGAATGGAGGGGTGGAGGAGGACTGGTAGTAGACTGGATGGAGAGGTGGAGGGAGGACTGGTAGTAGACTGGATGGAGAGGTGGAGGAGGACTGGTAGTAGACTGGATGGAGAGGTGGAGGAGGACTGGTAGTAGACTGGATGGAGAGGTGGAGGAGGACTGGTAGTAGACTGGATGGAGAGGTGGAGGAGGACTGGTAGTAGACTGGATGGAGAGGTGGAGGGGGAGGACTGGTAGTAGACTGGATGGAGAGGTGGAGGAGGACTGGTAGTAGACTGGATGGAGAGGTGGAGGAGGACTGGTAGTAGACTGGATGGAGAGGTGGAGGAGGACTGGTAGTAGACTGGATGGAGAGGTGGAGGAGGACTGGTAGTAGACTGGATGGAGAGGTGGAGGAGGACTGGTCATAGACTGGAGAGGTGGAGGAGGACTGGGAGAGAGTGGAGGTGGAGGAGGACTGGTCAGTAGACTGGATGGAGAGGTGGAGGAGGACTGGTAGTAGACTGGATGGAGAGGTGGAGGAGGACTGGTAGTAGACTGGATGGAGAGGTGGAGGAGGACTGGTAGTAGACTGGATGGAGAGGTGGAGGAGGACTGGTCGTAGACTGGGATGGAGAGGTGGAGGAGGGTGTATTGGACTGTAGACTGGATGGAGAGGTGGAGGAGGACTGGTAGTAGACTGGATGGAGAGGTGGAGGAGGACTGGTAGTAGACTGGATGGAGAGGTGGAGGAGGACTGGTAGTAGACTGGATGGAGAGGTGGAGGAGGACTGGTAGTAGACTGGATGGAGAGGTGGAGGAGGACTGGTAGTAGACTGGATGGAGAGGTGGAGGAGGACTGGTAGTAGACTGGATGCAGAGGTGGAGGAGGACTGGTAGTAGACTGGATGGAGAGGTGGAGGAGGACTGGTAGTAGACTGGATGGAGAGGTGGAGGAGGACTGGTAGTAGACTGGATGGAGAGGTGGAGGAGGACTGGTAGTAGACTGGATGGAGAGGTGGAGGAGGACTGGTCATAGGCTGGATGGAGAGGTGGAGGAGGACTGGTAGTAGACTGGATGGAGAGGTGGAGGAGGACTTATAGTAGACTGGATGGAGAGGTGGAGGAGGACTGGTAGTAGACTGGATGGAGAGGTGGAGGAGGACTGGTAGTAGACTGGATGGAGAGGTGGAGGAGTGATTGGTTGTAGACTGGATGGAGAGGTGGAGGAGGACTAGGAGAACTGGTAGTAGACTGGATGGAGAGGTGGAGGAGGACTGGTAGTAGACTGGATGGAGAGGTGGAGGAGGACTGGTAGTAGACTGGATGGAGAGGTGGAGGAGGACTGGTAGTAGACTGGATGGAGAGGTGGAGGAGGACTTGTAGTAGACTGGATGGAGAGGTGGAGGAGGACTGTCGTAGATTGGATGGAGATCTGGAGGGTGTATTGGTTGTAGACGGGACGATACTCGTTTCTTTCTCGGTGGGTGTGTTAATTGCGGTGCAGTTGTTAAATACATGACACAACACGTGTGACACGGATCCAGGACTAATGATGGGGGCGGGGCTGAGTGGATGGTGATTTGGGGTGAAGGGTGTCATTAATCTGGGTCATGTATGGGAGATGACCTGGAGGGGAATGTTGAGGCAGAACGAGTTGAGCGAGTTGTTAGCTGGGTTGTCTCCTGTGTGTGGGATGTGCCAGTCTGCCACCCGCGTCCTTCCAGGACTGACACCAACCAATCACCCAGCGAGGTCACACCTGATGGAGGACCAGGGACCCCGGGGGACCCTGGGGGGCGTCTCCTCCAATCTCTATGGTTGTTGGGGGCTTCTGCTGAACATTGACCCCCCCCATAAATGGTCACATGACCCCTCTGGAGGATTCTACTGATTTGTGTGAGTGAATCATTCCTGTCCGGGGGGGCTCTCATAGTGTCATCATAGTCCAGGTGATGGGGGGGGCAAACTCCATGCATGCACACACTCCACATACACACTCCATGTACACTTTCCATACACACACACACTCCATGCTCACAACACACACACACACACTCCATGCACACACGCACACTCCCCCGCACAAACACACACACTCCACGCACACACACACTCCATGCACACACACACTCCATGCACACACGCACACTCCATGCTCACAACACTCCATGCACACACACACACACTCCATGCACACACACACACTCCATGCTCACAACACACACACACCACTCCATGCACACACGCACACTCCATGCACACACGCACACTCCATGCTCACACACTCCATGCACACACACACACACACTCCATGCACACACACACACACTCCATGCTCACACACACACACTCCATGCACACACGCACACTCCATGCGCACAAACACACACACTCCATGCACGCACACACACACACTCTCCATGCACACACGCACACTCCATGCACACACGCACACTCCATGCGCACAAACACTCCATGCACACACACACACTCCGTGCACACACACACACTCCATGCGCGCGCACACACTCCATGCATGCGCACACATTCCATGGCACACACACACACATTCCATGCACACACCACACTCCATGCACACACACACACTCCATGCACACACACACACTCCATGCACACACACACACTCCATGCGCACACACACACTCCATGCGCACACACACACACTCCATGCACACACACACACTCCATGCGCACACACACTGACAATGATTTGTGTTGCAGGAATTCGGAGGAAGGACTTTGCTCTGTGGGGTGTGACGGAGAGCAGAGACATCTCCTGGCCCAGCGCCTGTCAGTGACAGTCAGACATGGAGGGAAGGCGGGCTCTGATGGAGGGGTACCAGGGGGCGGTGTCGGGGTTTGGGGTGCCCAGCCATGGATGGAGGATCTGCCTCGCTCACCAGTATGAGGAGAAGAGGAAACCCTTCCGGCTGGAACACGTCTCCCCCACCACCGTCCTCCACCACCTGCCTATGGGCCTCAGGTAGGAGATCCGTATACTGTGCACTGTGTCCGTATACCCCCCCCCTGTGTCCGTATACCCCCCCCTGTGTCCGTATACCCCCCCTGTGTCTGTATACCCCCCCCCCTGTGTCTGTATACCCCCCCTGTGTTCCGTATACCCCCCCTGTGTCTGTATACCCCCCCCTGTGTCTGTATACCCCCCCCTGTGTCCGTATACCCCCCCTGTGTCTGTATACCCCCCCTGTGTCTGTATACCCCCCCCCTGTGTCTGTATACCCCTCACTGTGTCCGTATACCCCCCCCTGTGTCCGTATACCCCCCCTGTGTCTGTATACCCCCCCCCCCTGTGTCTGTATACCCCTCACTGTGTCTGTATACCCCTCACTGTGTCTGTATACCCCTCACTGTGTCTGTATACCCCCCCCCCTGTGTCCGTATACCCCCCCTGTGTCTGTATACCCCCCTGTGTCTGTATACCCCTCACAGTGTCTGTATACCCCTCCTGTGTCCGTATACCCCCCCTGTGTCTGTATACCCCCCCTGTGTGTCTGTATACCCCCCCCTGTGTCTGTATACAAAAACCCCCTCACAGTGTCTGTATACCCCCCCCTGTGTCTGTATACCCCCCCCTGTGTCTGTATACCCCCCCTGTGTCTGTATACCCCCCCCTGTGTCTGTATACCCCCCCCTGTGTCTGTATACCCCCCCTGTGTCTGTATACCCCTCACTGTGTCTGTATACCCCCCCTGTGTCTGTATACCCCCCTGTGTCTGTATACCCCCCCTGTGTCTGTATACCCCCCCTGTGTCTGTATACCCCTCCTCTGTCCGTATACCCCCCCTGTGTCCGTATACCCCCCCTGTGTCCGTATACCCCTCACTGTGTCTGTATACCCCCCCCCTGTGTCTGTATACACCCCCTGTGTCTGTATACCCCCCCTGTGTCTGTATACCCCGCACTGTGTCTGTATACCCCCCCTGTGTCTGTATACCCCTCCTGTGTCTGTATACCCCCCCTGTGTCTGTATACCCCCCCTGTGTCTGTATACCCCCCCCCTGTGTCTGTATACCCCCTCACTGTGTCCGTATACCCCCCCCTGTGTCCGTATACCCCCCCTGTGTCTGTATACCCCCCCCCCTGTGTCTGTATACCCCTCACTGTGTCTGTATACCCCTCACTGTGTCTGTATACCCCTCACTGTGTCTGTATACCCCCCCCTGTGTCCGTATACCCCCCCCCCTGTGTCTGTATACCCCCCTGTGTCTGTATACCCCCCCTGTGTCTGTATACCCCTCACAGTGTCTGTATACCCCTCCTGTGTCCGTATACCCCCCTGTGTCTGTAATACCCCCCCCTGTGTCTGTATACCCCCCCCCTGTGTCTGTATACCCCCCCCTGTGTCTGTATACCCCCCCTGTGTCTGTATACCCCCCACTGTGTCTGTATACCCCCCCTGTGTCTGTATACCCCCCCTGTGTCTGTATACCCCCCCTGTGTCTGTATACCCCCCTGTGTCTGTATACCCCCCTGTGTCTGTATACCCCCCCTGTGTCTGTATACCCCCCCTGTGTCCGTATACCCCCCCTGTGTCTGTATACCCCCCCTGTGTCCGTATACCCCTCACTGTGTCTGTATACTCCCCCTGTGTCTGTATACCACCCCCTGTGTCTGTATACCCCCCCCCTGTGTCTGTATACCCCCACTGTGTCTGTATACCCCCCCTGTGTCTGTATACCCCCCCTGTGTCTGTATACCCCCCCTGTGTCTGTATACCCCCCCTGTGTCTGTATACCCCCCCTGTGTCTGTATACCCCTCACAGTGTCTGTATACCCCCCCTGTGTCTGTATACCCCCCCACTGTGTCTGTATACCCCCCCCTGTGTCTGTATACCCCCCCCCCTGTGTCTGTATACCCCTCCCTGTGTCTGTATACCCCCCCCTGTGTCTGTATACCCCCCCCTGTGTCTGTATACCCCCCACAGTGTCTGTATACCCCCCCCTGTGTCTGTATACCCCTCACAGTGTCTGTATACCCCCCCCTGTGTCTGTATAACCCCCCCCTGTGTCTGTATACCCCCCCCTGTGTCTGTATACCCCCTCACAGTGTCTGTATACCCCCCCTGTGTCTGTATACCCCTCACAGTGTCTGTATACTCCTCACTGTGTCTGTATCTCCCCCCCCCCTGTGTCTGTATACTCCTCACTGTGTCTGTATACCCCCCATGTAGTGTCCATACATATACCACATGTGGTCCCCCCCCCCCTCCCCCAATCTATGGTCTATGACCCCTCCCCTGTGTGTTCGCCTCCATACAGGTACCTCATGTGGTCTCCCCCCCCTCCCCCCATCTATGATCTATGACCCCTCCCCTGTGTTCTCCTCCATACAGATACCACATGTGGTCTCCCCCCCCCCCCCCAATCTGTGATCTATGACCCCTCCCCTGTGTTCTCCTCCATACAGATACCACATGTGGTCTCCCCCCCCCCCCCCCCCCCCCCCAATCTGTGATCTATGACCCCTCCCCTGTGTTTTCCTCCATACAGATACCACATGTGGTCTCCCCCCCCTTCCCCCAATCTATGGTCTATGACCCCCTCCCCTGTGTTCTCCTCCATACAGGTACCTCATGTGGTCTCCCCCCCTCCCCCAATCTATGGTCTATGACCCCTCCGCTGTGTTCTCCTCCATACAGGTACCACATGTGGTGGTCTCCCCTCCCCCCCCAGTCTATGGTCTATGACCCCTCCCCTGTGTTCTCTTCCATACAGATACCTCATGTGGTCTCCCCCCCCTCCCCCCATCTATGGTCTATGACCCCTCCCCTTTGTTCTCCTCCATACAGGTACCTCATGTGGTCCCCTCCCCCAATCTATGATTTTTGACCCCTCCCCTGTGTTCTCCTCCATACAGGTACCTCATGTGGTCTCCCCCCCCCTCCCCCCATCTATGGTCTATGACCCCTCCCCTTTGTTCTCCTCCATACAGGTACCTCATGTGGTCCCCTCCCCCAATCTATGATTTTTGACCCCTCCCCTGTGTTCTCCTCCATACAGGTACCTCATGTGGTGGTGCCGCAAGACCTATGTGGAGAAGAAAGCGCCATTCATAGACATGTTCAACGCCACCCCCCTGCGCCAGATATACGGTGAGTCACCCGAGAGGAAGGTCACCTGACCCTCTGTGACACCGACACGTCATCATCATAATAATAGTGGTGTCTGGTGTCAGTTATTAGCAGATCATTGACTAATCCCATTCCTGCCCTCTCCCAGGTGATAACATTCATTGTCAGGCAGTAGGTCAACACACGCCAGGGACATGCCAGGAGGTCTCCTCCATCTGTCCCTAAAGGAGGTCTCCTCCATCTTGTCCCTACAGGAGGTCTCCTCATCTGGAGGTCTCCTCCATCTGTCCCTAAAGGAGGTCTCCTCCATCTGTCCCTACAGGAGGTCTCCTCCATCTGTCCCTACAGGAGGTCTCCTCCATCTGTCCCTACAGGAGGTCTCCTCCATCTGTCCCTACAGGAGGTCTCCTCCATCTGTCCCTACAGGAGGTCTCCTCCATCTGTCCCTACAGGAGGAGGTCCCTCCTCCATCTGTCCCTACAGGAGGTCTCCTCCATCTGTCCCTACAGGAGGTCTCCTCCGTCTGTCCCTACAGGAGGTCTCCTCCGTCTGTCCCTACAGGAGGTCTCCTCCGTCTGTCCCTACAGGAGGTCTCCTCCGTCTCTCCCTACAGGAGGTCTCCTCCGTCTCTCCCTACAGGAGAGGTCTCCTCCGTCTCTCCCTACAGGAGGTCTCCTCCGTCTCTCCCTACAGGAGGAGGTCTCCTCCGTCTCTACAGGAGGTCTCCTCCGTCTCTCCCTACAGGAGGTCTCCTCCCTCTCCCTACAGGAGGTCTCCTCCGTCTCTCCCTACAGGAGGTCTCCTCCGTCTCTCCCTACAGGAGGTCTCCTCCGTCTCTCCCTACAGGGGTCTCCTCCGTCTCTCCCTACAGGGTCTCCTCCGTCTCTCCCTACAGGAGGTCTCCCTACAGAGGGTCTCCTCGGTCTCTCCCTACAGGAGGTCTCTCCCTCCTCCGTCTCTCCCTACCAGGAGGTCTCCTCCGTCTCTCCCTACAGGAGGTCTCCTCCGTCTCTCCCTACAGGAGGTCTCCTCCGTCTCTCCCTACAGGAGGTCTCCTCCGTCTCTCCCTACAGGGGTCTCCTCGTCTCTCCCTGCAGGGTCTCCTCGGTCTCTCCCTGCAGGAGGTCTCTCGGTCTCTCCCTGCAGGGTCTCTCGGTCTCTCCCTGCAGGGTCAGGTCTCTCCTCAGGTCCTCCCTACCGGAGGTCTCCTCCGTCTCTCCCTACAGGAGGTCTCCTCGTCTCTCGGTCCTGCAGGGTCTCCTCCGTCGGTCTCTCTCCGTCTGCAGGAGGTCTCTCCTCGGTCTCTCCTCCCAGGAGGTCTCCTCATCTCTCCTACGGTCTCCTCCGTCTCTCTCTCCCTGCAGGAGGTCTCCTCGGTCTCTCCCTGCAGGAGGTCTCCTCGGTCTCTCCCTGCAGGAGGTCTCCTCGGTCTCTCTCAGGGGTCCCTGCAGGAGGTCTCCTCGGTCTCTCCTCTGCAGGGGTCTCCTCGGTCTCTCCCTGCAGGGTCTCCTCGGTCTCTCTCTGCAGGAGGTCTCCTCGGTCTCTCTCTGCAGGAGGTCTCCTCGGTCTCTCTCTGCAGGAGGTCTCCTCGGTCTCTCTCCCTGCAGGAGGTCTCCTCGGTCTCTCCCTGCAGGAGGTCTCCTCGGTCTCTCTCTGCAGGAGGTCTCCTCGGTCTCTCTCTGCAGGAGGTCTCCTCGGTCTCTCTCTGCAGGAGGTCTCCTCGGTCTCTCTCTGCAGGAGGTCTCCTCGGTCTCTCTCTGCAGGTGGTCTCCTCGGTCTCTCTCTGCAGGAGGTCTCCTCGGTCTCTCTCTCTGCAGGAGGTCTCCTCGGTCTCTCTCTGCAGGAGGTCTCCTCGGTCTCTCCCTGCAGGAGGTCTCCTCGGTCTCTCCCTGCAGGAGGTCTCCTCGGTCTCTCCCTGCAGGAGGTCTCCTCGGTCTCTCCCTGCAGGAGGTCTCCTCGGTCTCTCCCTGCAGGAGGTCTCCTCGGTCTCTCCCTGCAGGAGGTCTCCTCGGTCTCTCCCTGCAGGAGGTCTCCTCGGTCTCTCCCTGCAGGAGGTCTCCTCGGTCTCTCCCTGCAGGAGGTCTCCTCGGTCTCTCCCTGCAGGAGGTCTCTTCCGACTCTCGCTGCATGAGGTCTGTTCCCCTTTTTGCTGCAAAAAGTTTCTTGTTTCATCAAAAAGGTGGGTAGAATTCTTGTGGCAAGAAGGGGAAGAGACCTTCTGCGGGGATAAGCTGAAGAGACCTCCTACAGTGAGCACGTGAAAAGATCTCCTGCAGCAAGAGCTCCTCACTCCCCTCCCTCCTGTGGGGTCATTTTGGTGCTGGATGGAAATCTTACATTTCGAGAGAGACCGGAATGATTTTGTAGGAAGTCTGGGGAGAGGATGGTGGATGTCTCATCTCACCTCCGATATAAGAAAGGGAAGGGATGACATTCTGTTTGTAGGTCAGAGGGGAACTCTGGGCAACCTAAATGTAGAATACCTTTCTATATATCTGCAACAAGTCCGGGTTCTTCCAGTCGGGGCCCTCAGACGGGTAATCGACCTCATAGATGCAGGCCATTGGGGGACATAGTTGGGTTTACATGTATCCAGTACAATACCTAACATTTTGGGCCAAACATTTTATTGGACTGTCCATTCTGATGAGCGTACTTGCCCTGGGAGTTGAGTAGGTTGGTGCACCCATTGCAGGTCCTTCCCATGGAGAGATGGTACAAATAGGACTTGGGTGCTTTTCCTCACCTACAGTTGTGTTCAAAATAATATCTGTGTGATGACAAAAGTGAGTAAAGCTGCAAATCCTTCTAATCCATTTCCATCCACACAAATGCATTGGGAACACGACACATTCTATTCCAAATCACAACATGAAGAAAAATACATCAAATTTGTGTTGTTCCTCTAAAAAAATGGAAGAAAAGTGAATATTAGACGGTTCAAAAAAATGTCCATGTTTGTATTCTTTACAAACTCCAACATTCACTATATAAACTGAGAAATGTTTGAAGATTTTGCTTTCCTTTGAATGACTTCATGAATATTTGGTTGTAGTCGCACTGTTTCTGAGAACTGCTGTACATCTGTGTTGCATGGAGTCCCCCAACTTCTGGCCCCTGTGATCAGGTATTCCAGCCCAGGATGATTGGACCACATTCCACAGTTCTTCTCTATTTCTTGGTTTGGCCTCAGAAACGGCATTTTTGATGTCACCCCACAAGTTTTCTATTGGATGAAGATCCGGGGATTGGGCTGGCCACTCCATAACGTCCATCTTGTTGGTCTGGAACCAAGATGTTGCACGTTTACTGGTGTGTTTGGGGTCGTTGTCTTGTTGGAACCCCCATTTCAAGGGCATTTCCTCTTCAGCATAAGGCAGCATGACCTCTTCAAGTATTCTGATGGATTCAAACTGATCCATGATCCCTGGTATGCGATAAATAGGCCCAACACCGTAGTATGAGAAACATCCCCATATCATGATGCTTGCACCACCATGCTTCACGGTCTTCACAGTGTACTGTGGCTTGAATTCAGTGTTTGGGGGCCGTCTGACAAACTGTCTCCGCCCACTAGACCCAAAAAGAACAATCTTACTTTCATCAGTCCACAAAATGTTGCGTCATTTCTCTTTAGGCCGGTCAATGTGCTCTTTGGCAGATTGTAACCTCTTCAGCACACGTCTTTTTTCCAACAGTGGGACTTTGCGGGGACTTCTTGCAGATAGCTTGGCTTCACATCGGCGTCTTCTAATTGTAACAGTCCTCACAGGAACGTCACACCTTCTTTCATCTTCCTGGAGCTGATTGTTGGCTGAGTCCTCACAGGGAACGTCACACCTTCTTTCATCTTCCTGGAGCTGATTGTTGGCTGAGTCACGAACGTCACACCTTCTTTCATCCCATGTTGGCTATGTTGGCTATTCTTCTATCCATTCCAATGGTAGTTTTTCGCTTTCTTCCACGTCTTTCAGGTTTTGGTTGCCATTTTAAAGCATTTGCCATGATTTTAGCTGAGCAGCCGATCATTTTCTGCACTTCTTTATATGTTTTCCCCTCCAATCAACTTTTTAATCAAGGTATGCTGTTCTTCTGAACAATGTCTGGAACGACCCATTTTCCTCAGAATTTCAGAGAGAAATGCACTGTAACCAGCATGTCCAACATTTGCTGCCTTCCTTCCTTAAATAAGGGCAATAATTGCCACCTGTTTATCAAAGAATGAATGACCTCACTAATAGAACTCCACACGGCTATTATCGTGAACACGCCCCTTTCAATGAGTGATTCAATGACACAGAATCAGCAGCATGCATGTCATGACTTTTGGGTCTGTTGGATTTCTATGACTCTACTACACCTGCTAGGAAATTATTTGCCATGTAGAAATATCATTCCCACCAAAAACAGCGATTGATCCGGTTAGTGATGTCTGACGGCTAGTATTTTCAACACAACTGTGTATCCATAGACTTGGAGTAAAGCAGCCATCTACAAATCTGAATACCAAGCTCCGTGCTCGCTACCTCCTCACATTCCGTGTCCTGATTGGGCTGCTCTTGGCATGAATGGCCTTATCTTCCGTAGATCGCTGACTGCGCACAGTTCACATGTCCAAGGCTCATCTATAAACCCTGACAAGCCCTCTGCATCCTTCTAGGGTGGAGAAGCCTTTGTTCTGGCAGTGAAGTGATCCATACGGTTTAGGTGGTTGAGGGATCGGTAGGACAGTTGTGGGCACTTTCCCACCATTGCTACCGATCCCCTACAACCGGCCTGATGGTCTGGCTGTTGTGTCACGACAGTTCCATAAACAGCACAAATCAGGCCTAAAAGTGAAGGTGTCGTGAGGCTGCACCCTGGAGGTGGCATCTCTGCAATGTGCTGCCATGGGTGGGCCAATAGGTTGAGGGCACTTTACGGGGAGTTCCCAGGAGGTTCACCTGTCTCAGATTTCCTTGTATTTGGAAGGACATTCTGTGTATGTTATCTAGCTGGTTGTATGGTAGGGATCCAAAGACCGAAAGGCGCTTCTCCCGAACACTGATCTGGCCATTTCTCTTTTATGGATCTGAAACCGGGACCCCGCTCAAAACTGACATGAGCAAGCTTGAGGTTTTCTGCCATGTCTGAGGCAGATCTTCGTGGTCACCTTCGTAAGGAGACAACTGGACAACATGAGACCATCAAGCTTCAGTTGGGGAAACAATCCGAAAATTCACACTGTTAAGGCCTGGCCATGTTTCCAGAATGAACGCCAGTCGGCTGCCATATACTCTGGTCTGGCAAACGCAACCTGTCCACTGGAGGGTTTAGCCACTTATTGACCACGCTATAGCTGGATGACGGCTACAGCGCAGATGTCCTATACTGGGAGGGCGTCGTATGACACTGTGATCACATGACATGGTAAAGGGCCAATCACAGAGGCCTTTTACCACGTGATCAGCTGTGTCCAGTCACAACTGATCACAATGTAAACACACTGACAGCGTGAGGAAAGTCCTGCCGATAACCGTGAAGTGTGGAAGGAGATTATCAGTGCCCAGGGGTGCTTCCAATCTGTGCCTCTGAGTGCTGCCAGTTAGTGCCGCCTATCAGTGCCCAGGAGTGCTTCCAATCTGTGCCCGTCAGTGCTGCAAATCTGTGCCTATCAGTGCCCAGGGGTGCTTCCAATCTGTGCCCGTCAGTGCTGCCAGTTAGTGCCGCCTATCAGTGCTGCCAGTTAGTGCCGCCTATCAGTGCCCAGGAGTGCTTCCAATCTGTGCCCATCAGTGCTGCAAATCTGTGCCTATCAGTGCCCAGGAGTGCTTCCAATCTGTGCCCGTCAGTGCTGCAAATCTGTGCCTATCAGTGCCCAGGAGTGCTTCCAATCTGTGCCCGTCAGTGCTGCAAATCTGTGCCTATCAGTGCCCAGGGGTGCTTCCAATCTGTGCCCGTCAGTGCTGCAAATCTGTGCCTATCAGTGCCCAGGGGTGCTTCCAATCTGTGCCCGTCAGTGCTGCAAATCTGTGCCTATCAGTGCCCAGGGGTGCTTCCAATCTGTGCCCGTCAGTGCTGCAAATCTGTGCCTATCAGTGCCCAGGGGTGCTTCCAATCTGTGCCCGTCAGTGCTGCAAATCTGTGCCTATCAGTGCCCAGGGGTGCTTCCAATCTGTGCCCGTCAGTGCTGCAAATCTGTGCCTATCAGTGCCCAGGGGTGCTTCCAATCTGTGCCCGTCAGTGCTGCAAATCTGTGCCTATCAGTGCCCAGGGGTGCTTCCAATCTGTGCCCGTCAGTGCTGCAAATCTGTGCCTATCAGTGCCAGTGCTGCCAGTCAGTGCTGCAAATCTGTGCCTATCAGTGCTGCCAGTCAGTGCTGCAAATCTGTGCCTATCAGTGCTGCCAGTCAGTGCTGCAAATCTGTGCCTATCAGTCAGTGCTGCAAATCTGTGCCTATCAGTGCTGCAAATCTGTGCCTATCAGTGCTGCAAATCTGTGCCTATCAGTGCTGCAAAATCTGTGCCTATCAGTTCTGCAAATCTGTGCCTATCAGTGCTGCCAGTCAGTGCTGCAAATCTGTGCCTATCAGTGCTGCCAGTCAGTGCCGCCTATCAGTGCCCATCAGTGTAGCCTCATCAATGCACATCAATGAAGGAGAAAAATTGCCTGTTTTCAAAAACGTTTATTTTTTTCAAAATTTTCGGTCTTTTTTTCATTTAGCAAAAAATAGAACCCCCCAGCGGGGATTAATACCACCAAAAGAAAGCTCTATTCGTGTGAAAAAAAATTCTAAAAATGTCATATGTGTACAGTGTTGCATGACCGCGGAACTGTCATTCAAAGTGTGACAGTGTTGAAAGCTGAAAATTGGTCTGGGCAGGAAGGGGGTGAAAGTGCCCGGTAGGCAAGGGGCTAATGAGTCGTACTAAAGAAAAGGTGGTCCTCTGGAGGGTTTAACGAGCCATAATAAAGAAAAGGTGGTCCTCTGGAGGGTTTTAGGAGCCATAATAAAGAAAAGGTGGTCCTCTGGAGGGTTTTAGGAGCCATAATAAAGAAAAGGTGGTCCTCTGGAGGGTTTAACGAGCCATATTAAAGAAAAGGTGGTCCTCTGGAGGGTTTAACGAGCCATAATAAAGAAAAGGTGGTCCTCTGGAGGGTTTAACGAGCCATATTAAAGAAAAGGTGGTCCTCTGGAGGGTTTAACGAGCCATAATAAAGAAAAGGTGGTCCTCTGGAGGGTTTTAGGAGCCATAATAAAGAAAAGGTGGTCCTCTGGAGGGTTTAACGAGCCATATTAAAGAAAAGGTGGTCCTCTGGAGGGTTTTAGGAGCCATAATAAAGAAAAAGTGGTCCTCTGGAGGGTTTTAGGTGCCCTAATAAAGAAAAGGTGGTCCTCTGGAGGGTTTAAAAAGCCATAATAAAGAAAAAGTGATCCTCTGAAGGGTTTAAGGAGCCCTAATAAAGAAAAGGTGGTCCTCTGGAGGGTTTTAGGAGCCATAATAAAGAAAAGGTGGTCCTCTGGAGGGTTTTTAGGAGCCATAATAAAGAAAAAGTGGTCCTCTGGAGGGTTTTAGGAGCCATAATAAAGAAAAGGTGGTCCTCTGGAGGGTTTAAGGAGCCATAATAAAGAAAAGGTGGTCCTCTGGAGGGTTTAAGGAGCCATAATAAAGAAAAAGTGATCCTCTGAAGGGTTTAAGGAGCCCTAATAAAGAAAAGGTGGTCCTCTGGAGGGTTTAAGGAGCCCTAATAAAGAAAAAGTGGTCCTCTGGAGAGTTTAGGGAGCCCTAATAAAGAAAAGGTGGTCCTATGGAGAGTTTAAGGAGCCCTAATAAAGAAAAGGTGGTCTACTGAAGGGTTTAACGAGCCATAATAAAGAAAAGGTGGTCCTCTGGAGGGTTTAAGGAGCCATAATAAAGAAAAGGTGGTCCTCTGGAGGGTTTTAGGAGCCCTAATAAAGAAAAGGTGGTCCTCTGGAGGGTTTTAGGAGCCATAATAAAGAAAAGGTGGTCCTCTGGAGGGTTTTTAAGGAGCCCTAATAAAGAAAAAGTGGTCCTCTGGAGAGTTTAAGGAGCCCTAATAAAGAAAAGGTGGTCTACTGAAGGGTTTAAGGAGTCCTAATAAAGAAAAGGTGGTCCTCTGGAGGGTTTTAGGAGCCATAATAAAGAAAAGGTGGTCCTCTTGAGGGTTTTAGGAGCCATAATAAAGAAAAGGTGGTCCTCTGCAGGGTTTAGGGAGCCATAATAAAGAAAAGGTGGTCCGTAGGAGGGTTTTAGGAGCCATAATAAAGAAAAGGTGGTCCGTAGGAGGGTTTTAGGAGCCATAATAAAGAAAAGGTGGTCCTCCTGGAGGGTTTAAGGAGACCTAATAAAGAAAAAGTGGTCCTCTGGAGAGTTTAAGGAGCCCTAATAAAGAAAAGGTGGTCTACTGAAGGGTTTAAGGAGTCCTAATAAAGAAAAGGTGGTCCTCTGGAGGGTTTAACGAGCCATAATAAAGAAAAGGTTGTCCACTGGAGGGTTTAACGAGCCATAATAAAGAAAAGGTGGTCCACTGGAGGGTTTAACGAGCCATAATAAAGAAAGCACAGTCCACTTGAGGGTTAACAAGTCGTTTTAAAACTAACTTGGTCCACTGGAGGGTTTTGTGAGCCGTATTAAAGAAAACGTCCACTGGAAGGTTTAACGAGCACTACTAAAGTAAATGCAGTCCACTTGAGGGTTTTACAAGTTATACCAAAGAAAACATGGTCCACTTGAGGATTTATCAAGTCATACTAGAGAAAACGTTTTCCATGGGAGGGTTTAACAAGTTGCACTAAAGAAAACGTGGTCCACTGGGAGGTTTTTAAAGAAAACGTGGTCCACTGGAAGGTTTTAAAGAAAACGTGGTCCACTGGAAGGTTTTAAAGAAAACGTGGTCCACTGGGAGGTTTTAAAGAAAACGTGGTCCACTGGGGGGGGGGTCTAACGAGCTATACTAAAGAAAATGTGGCTAAGACACGTTGGAGAAGACCTACGGAACCAGGGAGTGACCATCAACATGAAATATTATCACCAATGGAGGCATCATTATGTGAACCTTGCGTGGAATCCAGCAGCACCTACCACAGTGTATTGGCGGAATAGATGACCTGCTCACCCTTTGCCAGCTCAGGATTTAGGAAGAAGGTGAGGTTGCATTACCTTCTGCTCTCCATTGAGACATGGTAGGTGGTAGGACCTGGATCCAGCCTTTCCTGCCCATAATAAAGGGTACCTGCATTGATATGGAGATCTGAGAGGTGAGCATGCCGGTAGGCAGCCTTTGGGTCCAGCATTATTGCAGAGCCCAGGCCATCATGTAGGAGTCGGATCACTGGAAGCCAGAAATCGTGTATTGCAGGCCACGATCAGTGGTTGAGGTTCTCTGTGGCATTTGGGGCATATAACGGTCTATAGGAGGGTCGTGTTTTAGAAGCGATGGACAATTTTGGGTGTTCCTCAGACACAAAGGGGGTGACCTGCCGTGTACTTGTTATATTTTACTCAGTGAATGGCTAATATTGTCCCAGTCTGGATGTTTGGCATCTGTAGAGGAACCACAAAGCGTCATAGATGGTCCATAGATGTGTAGATGAAGTCCATGTGTCCTCACATTCATGTCCAGTGTGGTGACAGTCGCTCGGGAACTGTTGCCACCATCTTTCGGGAAGACCGTTAATACATGAGGTTTGATGGAAGAGCTCCATACACATGGTGAAATCCTGATCTGCCACGTCCCATGGTGCATTGTGTGTCACGTGACTGCCAGGCCGTCATGAGACATCCAGCAGTCAGATCAGGAGGGGGTTGTGCAGGTTGCCTCTCTGTACTCCCATGTAGCCTGTGTGTTAGTGATGGGCAACCATTGGTGGGGTGCACCATGTGACAGCTGACTGACGACTGGTGTTCTTTTTTCCAGGTGCTCCTCTCGGTGGTATCGGAGGAGGAACCATCACCCGCAGCTGGTCTGGAGAGTTCTGCCGGTGGCAGCTGAATCCCGGCCTATACCACTACAAGGCGGTGACAGAAAACCAGGTGTGTCCTGCTGTGCCGCACACAGAACTGTCCGTATTGCCCCGACCAATCCCAGCCCTGACACTGATCAGTAACATGGGAACATGCAGCCAATCAGATGCCACCTCTCATTGACTTGTATGTAATAGGGAGACAGACAGTTCTTATTTCACATTCTAATGAGGTCATATCCTCAGTCTCAGGGTTCAGGGTGTCAGAGCAAAAAATCGTTTTCGTGCATCTCTGCATTGTGTGTGAAGAAGACCTGCCAGGAATCCAGTGCCCTCTGTGTCCCCCGCCCCTGTGTGTCCCTGCCCTCAGTGTCCCCGCCCTCTGTGTCCCATCCCCTCTGTGTCCCCGCCCTCAGTGTCCCCGCCCCTGTGTGTCCCCGCCCTCAGTGTCCCCGCCCTCAGTGTCCCTGCCCTCCCTTTTTTTTCCCGCCCTCAGTGTCCCCGCCCTCTGTGTCCCATCCCCTCTGTGTCCCCGCCCTCTGTGTCCCATCCCCTCTGTGTCCCCGCCCTCTGTGTCCCATCCCCTCTGTGTCCCCGCCCTCTGTGTCCCATCCCCTCTGTGTCCCCGCCCTCAGTGTCCCATCCCCTCTGTGTCCCCGCCCTCAGTGTCCCATCCCCTGTGTGTCCCTGCCCTCAGTGTCCCCGCCCTCAGTGTCCCATCCCCTGTGTGTCCCCGCCCTCTGTGTCCCATCCCCTGTGTGTCCCCGCCCTCTGTGACCCATCCCTCCAGTGTCCCATCCCCTGTGTGTCCCCGATCTCAGTGTCCCATCCCCTGTGTGTCCCCGCTCTGTGTCCCATCCCCTGTGTGTCCCCGCTCTCAGTGTTCCCCGCTCTCAGTGTCCCATCCCCTGTGATTCCCCGCTCTGTGTCCCCGATCTCAGTGTCCCATCCCCTGTGTGTCCCCGCTCTGTGTCCCCGCTCTCAGTGTTCCATCCCTGTGTGTCCCCGCTCTCAGTGTTCCCCGCTCTCAGTGTCCCATCCCCTGTGTGTCCCCGCTCTGTGTCCCCGCTCTCAGTGTTCCATCCCCTGTGTGTCCCCGCTCTCAGTGTTCCATCCCCTGTGTGTCCCCGCTCTCAGTGTTCCCCGCTCTCAGTGTCCCATCCCCTCAGTGTCCCCGCCCCTGTGTGTCCCATCCCCTCTGTGTCCCCGCCCGTGTGTCCCTGCCCTCAGTGTCCCCACCCTCAGTGTCCCTGCCCTCCCTTTTTTCCCCGCCCTCTGTGTCCCATCCCCTCTGTGTCCCCGCCCTCTGTGTCCCATCCCCTGTGTGTCCCCGCTCTCAGTGTTCCCCGCTCTCAGTGTCCCATCCCCTGTGTGTCCCCGCTCTCAGTGTCCCATCCCCTGTGTGTCCCCGCTCTCAGTGTTCCCCGCTCTCAGTGTCCCCGCTCTCAGTGTCCCATCCCCTGTGTGTCCCCGCTCTCAGTGTTCCCCGCTCTCTGTGTCCCATCCCCTGTGTGTCCCCGCTCTCAGTGTTCCCCGCTCTCTGTGTCCCATCCCCTGTGTGTCCCCGCTCTCAGTGTTCCCCGCTCTCTGTGTCCCATCCCCTGTGTGTCCCCGCTCTCTGTGTCCCATCCCCTGTGTGTCCCCGCTCTGTGTCCCCGCTCTCAGTGTTCCCCGCTCTCTGTGTTCCATCCCCTGTGTGTCCCCGCTCTGTGTCCCATCCCCGCTCTCAGTGTTCCCCTCTCTCAGTGTTCCCCGCTCTCAGTGTTCCCCGCTCTCTGTGTCCCATCCCCTGTGTGTCCCCGCTCTGTGTCCCCGCTCAGTGTTCCATCCCCTGTGTGTCCCCGCTCTCAGTGTTCCATCCCCTGTGTGTCCCCGCTCTCAGTGTTCCCCGCTCTCAGTGTCCCATCCCCTCAGTGTCCCCGCCCCTGTGTGTCCCATCCCCTCTGTGTCCCCGCCCCTGTGTGTCCCTGCCCTCAGTGTCCCCGCCCTCAGTGTCCCTGCCCTCCCTTTTTTCCCCGCCCTCTGTGTCCCTGCCCTCTGTGTCCCATCCCCTCTGTGTCCCCGCCCTCTGTGTCCCATCCCCTGTGTGTCCCCGCTCTCAGTGTTCCCCGCTCTCAGTGTCCCATCCCCTGTGTGTCCCCGCTCTCAGTGTTCCCCGCTCTCAGTGTCCCCGCTCTCAGTGTCCCATCCCCTGTGTGTCCCCGCTCTCAGTGTTCCCCGCTCTCTGTGTCCCATCCCCTGTGTGTCCCCGCTCTCTGTGTCCCATCCCCTGTGTGTCCCCGCTCTGTGTCCCATCCCCGCTCTCAGTGTTCCCCGCTCTCAGTGTTCCCCGCTCTCAGTGTTCCCCCGCTCTCAGTGTTCCCCGCTCTCAGTGTTCCCCGCTCTCTGTGTCCCATCCCCTGTGTGTCCCCGCTCTGTGTCCCCGCTCTCTGTGTCCCATCCCCTGTGTGTCCCCGCTCTCTGTGTCCCATCCCCGCTCTCAGTGTTCCCCGCTCTGTGTCCCCCGCTCTGTGTCCCCGCTCTGTGTCCCCGCCCTCAGTGTTCCCCGCTCTGTGTCCCCCGCTCTCAGTGTTCCCCCCCCTCTCAGTGTCTCTTGCTGTTTCCTCTCAGTTCACAGTGTGCGTCCGGCGTCGCGGTGAGACCGTCTACCAACAAGTGTTATCAGTGGAGCGGCCGCACACCCTGCAGGGCTGGAACTGGGGCTACTGCGGCAACCAGGCGTTCTATCACGCTTTGTACCCCCGAGCCTGGACCGTCTACCACCTTCCCGGGCAGAACATCACCCTGACCTGCCGCCAGATCTCACCCATCATCCCGCATGATTACAAGGTAGGTGACCCCCCCCCGATGTACCCCACCTGTGCCCCCCCCAAGGTGCGCTGTACTGTATCCTACCCCCCCAACTACAACCCCCAGATGTACTGTATACCCCCCCACCCCCAACTACAACCCCCAGATGTACTGTATCCTTCTACCCCCCCCCCCAACTACAACCCCCAGATGTACTGTATCCTACCCCCCCAACTACAACCCCCAGATGTACTGTATACCCCCCACCCCCCCCCCGACTACAACCCCCAGATGTACTGTATCCTTCTACCCCCCCCCCAACTACAACCCCCAGATGTACTGTATACCCCCCCCCCCCCAACTACAACCCCCAGATGTACTGTATCCTTCTACCCCCCCCCCCAACTACAACCCCCAGATGTACTGTATACCCCCCCCCCCCCCCCCCAACTACAACCCCCAGATGTACTGTATCCTTCTACCCCCCCCAACTACAACCCCCAGATGTACTGTATACCCCCCACCCCCCCCAACTACAACCCCCAGATGTACTGTATCCTTCTACCCCCCCCCCAACTACAACCCCCAGATGTACTGTATCCTTCTACCCCCCCCCAACTACAACCCCCAGATGTACTGTATACCCCCCACCCCCCCCCAACTACAACCCCCAGATGTACTGTATACCCCCCCCCCCCCCCCCCCAACTACAACCCCCAGATGTACTGTATACCCCCCACCCCCCCCCAACTACAACCCCCAGATGTACTGTATCCTTCTAACCCCCCCAACTACAACCCCCAGATGTACTGTATACCCCCCCCCCAACTACAACCCCCAGATGTACTGTATCCTTCTACCCCCCCCCCAACTACAACCCCCAGATGTACTGTATACCCCCCACCCCCCCCCCCCAACTACAACCCCCAGATGTACTGTATACCCCCCCCCACCCCCCCCCCCAACTACAACCCCCAGATGTACTGTATCCTTCTACCCCCCCCCCCAACTACAACCCCCAGATGTACTGTATACCCCCCACCCCCCCCAACTACAACCCCCAGATGTACTGTATACCCCCCACCCCACCCCCCAGCTACAACCCCCAGATGTACTGTATCCTTCTAACCCCCCCCCCAACTACAACCCCCAGATGTACTGTGTCCTTCTACCCCCCCCCCCAACTACAACCCCCAGATGTACTGTATACCCCCCACCCCCCCCAACTACAACCCCCAGATGTACTGTATCCTTCTACCCCCCCCCCCAACTACAACCCCCAGATGTACTGTATACCCCCCTCCTTCCTAGCTCTGCTCTACCAACTCCCCCCCCAATTGTGCTATTCCTAGTCTCTGCTGTACTAATTCCCCTCCCCAGCTGTGCCCGGGGTGCCGTTTTTTGCACTCTATGGTCCCCCCCCCACCCCCGGCTCCTCTGTACTCCCCCCTCTGGTTACACTCTATGGTCCCCCCCGGCTCCTCTGTACTCCTCCCTCTGGTTACACTCTATGGTCCCCCCCCCCCCCCCCACCCCACCCCGGCTCCTCTGTACTCCCCCCTCTGGTTACACTCTATGGTCCCCCCCGGCTCCTGTGATGTGTGTGTATGTGTGTGTGTTGTGTGTTTTGTGTGTTTGTATGTATGTGTGTATGTATGTTGTTTATGTGTGTGTGTATGTGTGTGTGTGTGTATGTGTGTGATGTGTGTGTATGTATGTTTGTGTGTGGTGTGTATGTATGTGTGTACACACAGGAAAATAATGATGTGCTCCCCTGCAGATTCACTTACACAGAAATGAAGGGTCTATAATTGTTATCATAGTTTATATAAATGACAGAGACAGAATATCAACCGAAAACCCAGAAACCACACGATACAAATGTTATAAATGGAGCTGCAGTTCCGTGAGTACAATAAGTATCTGATCCCCCACCAACCAACCATGATTCTGGCTCCCACAGACTGGCTATGTGCTCATATAGTACACAGATCAGTCCTGTCCATGGAAGAAGGCGCTCCTAACAACAACTCCTTATGTGTATAAAAGACACCTGTCCACACCTTCTTTCTTCCTTCCAAACCTCACCACCACCATGGGCAAGACCAAAGAGCTGTAAAAGGACATCAGGGACAAGATTGTGGACCTGCACAAGGCTGGAATGGGCTACAAGACCATCAGCAAGAAGCTTGGTGAGAAGGAGACAACTGTTGGAGTGAATATTCACAAATGGAAAAAATACAAAATAACCGTCAATCACCATCGGTGTGGAGCTCCATGGAAGATTTAACCTCATGGGGTAAGGATGATCATGAGAAAAGTGAGGGATCAGCCCAGAACTACATGGGAGGAGCTTGTGAATGATCTCAAGGCAGCTGGTACCACAGTCACCAAACAAAACCATTGGTAACACAATACACTGCCATGGATTGAAGTCCTGCAGCGTCCACAAGGTCCCCCTCCTCCAGAAGGCACATGTCCAGGCCCGGCTGACATCTAAATGATTCAGAGAAGGATTGGGAGAAAGTGCTGTGGTCAGAGGAGACCGAAATTGAGCTCTTTGGCATTAACTCAACTCGCCATGTTTGGAGGAAGAAAAATGACTATGACCCCAAAAACACCATCACTACAGTCCAGCACGAAGGTGGAAACATTATGCTTTGGGGCTGTTTCTCTGCTAATGGTACAGGCCAACTTTGCCACATTGAGGGACCAATGGACGGGGCCATGTATTGTAAAATCTTGGATGAGAACCTTCTTCCCTCAGCCAGAACACTGAAGATGGGTCGTGGATGGATCTCTGAGAGAGACAATGACCCAAAGCATACTGCCAAGGCAACAAAGGAGTGGCTGAGGAAAAAGCACATTAACGTCATGGAGTGGCCCAGCCAGTCTCCAGACCTTAATCCTATAGAAAATTTATGGAAGGAGCTGAAACGTTGAGCTGCCATGTAACATCCGAGAAACCTTAAGGATTTAGAGAAGATCTGTAAAGAGGAGTGGACCAAAATCCCTCCTGAGATGTGTGCAAACCTGGGAACCAACTGCAGGAAACGTCTCACCTCTGTGCTCGCTAACAAGGGTTCCTCCACCAACTACAAGAGACGTCTCACCTCTGTGCTCGCCAGCAAGGGTTCCTCCACCAACTACAAGGGACGTCTCACCTTTGAGCTCGCCAACAAGGGTTCCTCCACCAACTACAAGAAACGTCTGACCTCGGTGCTCGCCAACAAGGGTTCCTCCACCAACTACAGGAAATGTCTGACCTCTGTGCTTCCAACAAGGGTTCCTCCACCAACTACAAGAGACGTCTCACCTCTGTGCTCACCAACAAGGGTTCCTCCACCAACTACAGGAAACATCTCACCTCTGTGCTCACCAACAAGGGTTTCTCCACCAACTACAGGAAACGTCTGACCTCTGTGCTCACCAACAAGGGTTTCTCCACCAACTACAGGAAACGTCTGACCTCTGTGCTTCCAAGAAGGGTTCCTCCACCAACTACAAGGAACGTCTCACCTCTGTGCTCTCCAACAAGGGTTCCTCCACCAACTACAAGAGATGTCTCACCTCTGTGCTCACCAACAAGGGTTCCTCCACCAACTACAAGGAACGTCTCACCTCTGTGCTCGCCAACAGGGGTTCCTCCGCCAACTACAAGGAACGTCTCACCTCTGTGCTCACCAACAAGGGTTCCTCCACCAACTACAGGAGATGTCTCACCTCTGTGCTCACCACCAACAAGGGTTCCTCCACCAACTACAAGGAACGTCTCACCTCTGTGCTCACCAACAAGGGTTCCTCCACCAACTACAAGGAACGTCTCACCTCTGTGCTCGCCAACAGGGGTTCCTCCGCCAACTACAAGGAACGTCTCACCTCTGTGCTCACCAACAAGGGTTCCTCCACCAACTACAGGAGACGTCTCACCTCTGTGCTCACCAACAAGGGTTCCTCCACCAACTACAAGAGATGTCTCACCTCTGTGCTCACCAACAAGGGTTCCTCCACCAACTACAAGGAATGTCTCACCTCTGTGCTCGCCAACAGGGGTTCCTCCGCCAACTACAAGGAACGTCTCACCTCTGTGCTCACCAACAAGGGTTCCTCCACCAACTACAGGAGACGTCTCACCTCTGTGCTCACCAACAAGGGTTCCTCCACCAACTACAAGAGATGTCTCACCTCTGTGCTCACCAACAAGGGTTCCTCCACCAACTACAAGAGACATCTCACCTCTGTGCTCACCAACAAGGGTTCCTCCACCAACTACAAGGAACGTCTCACCTCTGTGCTCGCCAACAGGGGTTCCTCCGCCAACTACAAGGAACGTCTCACCTCTGTGCTCACCAACAAGGGTTCCTCCACCAACTACAAGGAACGTCTCACCTCTGTGCTCACCAACAAGGGTTCCTCCACCAACTACAAGAGATGTCTCACCTCTGTGCTCACCAACAAGGGTTCCTCCACCAACTACTAAGTCATGTTTTGCTCTGGGATCAAATACTAATTTTACTCCCTGAGCTGCAACTCCATTTATAACATGTGTATCGTGTTGTTTCTGGATTTGTGGTTGATATTCTGTCTCTATCATTTATATACACCTATGATAACAATTATAGACCCGTCATTTCTGTGTAAGTAGGCAAACGTACAGAATCTGCAGGGGAGCAAATCAATATTCCCCCCCCCCCCCTGTATATAATTCTCCACACGCACCTGTGTGTTTGAGCTTTGGGTTGCATGCCCTGATGCATTGATCTGCGCACACCTGAACCCCATCCCCCCCCCCCCCCCCCCCATACTATATGGAGCAGGTAATGGTGTAATGTAGAGCGAGGCGTGGCATTATTACCGATAACATTCACTGTCTCGGCCGGTTCAAAGTCTCGGTATTTTATGGCGGCTGTAACAAAACTGTAAACAAAAATAATATTTAAAAATGGATATATATTTAACAAAAGATAAATCTTCCACCCCACACACATATAACCCTTCCCCACCCCCCACACCCTTCCACACATATAACCCATATCCCCCCACCCCCACACACATATAACCCTTAAACCTTCCCCACCCCCACACACATGTAACCCTTCCCCACCCCCACACACAATGACCCCCCTCCCTCCTTGCCTACTGATGGCGCCAACATCTACAACCTGCAGTCATGTTACCATCTGTCACTGGAGCCTCTTCCACCCTCTCAGCTCTCTTGGATGTGCCTGGATCTTCTAATTTATCAGCTGCCAGACTGTGTGGGGCAGATCACCCCAATATTTGCTGATTCTGACCACCCCGTTATATTTGCTGATTCTGACCACAGAGGCCACAGGCATGCTCCTGCTTCCTCTCTTGTCACTTCTATATGACTTACCCACGGCCTCGGCTGCTTTCAAGCCATCTGTTGTAGTGTCAGTGTTTGGCTGGCTGGAGTTGGTCTTGTCCTTCACTCATGAGCTTACCCTTGAGGAGTCCCAGTCTGCTGCTGCTGCCCCCCCCATATAAAACCATTCTGGCTCTTATTGATGTAGGGATCCCCAGTCTGAAAATATAAGATCAGCCTGCTGCTTCTGCCGGCACTGTTTTCAGTCTTGGCTCCTTTAAAGCCCCTGAGGGTCACAAACCCTTTCCCCTTGATCCCGTTCCCAGCTCTTCCTCTGGAACACCTCCTTAGTGGTTTTGCTTCATTTGAGTGCTTGTTAGCCTTGTTCTTGCTTGGGGCAGCTTTTGTGGAGAAGTCAGTCTTCTGTAGATCTGGCCCACCTTAACAAGGCCTTACTATTCCCATAGAAGACATGGCTGTTTCTAAGGACCCAGCCGATCTGTGTCTGTTCGCCCTTTCTAGAGCTGTGTTCTCGCTGACGAGTCCTGACCCCTCACCCAGTCCTGGTCATGACTGCTTTTTCATACCATGGCTTGCTGGTCATAATCCCTTCAGAGAAATGTCTTTACCTTCCGCAGTTGATTCCTTGCTTATTGAACACATGGAGCTTTAAATTTAAGTTGTGACTGTGTGATGGAATCCTCCTGTCTCCTCTCTCGCATAGGTCTCATGTCAGTATACATGTAGGGCAGTTTCGTGAGAGTGCTGAGCTACTAGACCTTTATGCAAGAAACATTTGCTCCGCATTTGGATCCCAAATCCTTTTTGGATTGACCTTTGATACTGGTGTTAAGGACGCCGCTGGTGGCAGGAGCACATATCTTCCTCAATGGAAGAAGCCAAAGGAGCAGGCTGCCAGGTACTTTTGAGAAAAAGTCCTTGCTTTTCGTCACTCCCTGTGCCTTTTTGTAGAGACCCACCAAGCCTGCCAAATCCTCAGGTAAGCCTTCCTTGGTATGAATGTACACCCCCACTTTTTCAGAGCAGAGGAATGTTTAACCTTTACGATTGCTTGGACAGCTGAATCTCCAGCCATTGGGTTCTTTGAGATCTGTAAGGCAGACTAACATCGAAGCTTATGGTCTTGAGGACCAGGATTCACTCCCCTGTCAAGGCGCACTCTACTAGATCTGTAAGGCAGACTATCATCGAAGCTTATGGTCTTGAGGACCAGGATTCAATCTCCTGTCAAGGCGCACTCTACTAGATCTGTAAGGCAGACTATCATCGAAGCTTATGGTCTTGAGGACCAGGATTCACTCTCCTGAGGACCAGGTTCCACTGTCCTGTCAAGGCGCACTCTACTAGATCTGTAAGGCAGACTATCATCGAAGCTTATGGTCTTGAGGACCAGGATTCACTCTCCTGTCAAGGCGCACTCTACTAGATCTGTAAGGCAGACTATCATCGAAGCTTATGGTCTTGGTCTCATGATGGTCTTCGAGGACCAGGTTCCACTGTCCTGTCAAGGTGCACTTCTACTAGATCTGAGGGCACTTGTGCTTTTTCATCCTTAAGCAACTGTTTTCCAGATCTGCAAGGCTGCCAGCCGGTCTTCTTTTACTGCAATCTCTAAGTTCTACCATGTGGATGTTTCAGGCTTACCTGATAACAACTTTAGGTGTAAGGTCCTTCAGGCATCGCTTTGAGCTGCTAGCAGTCCCCAGTTCTCTTGTTTTCTTGGGCCTGTTAGCATGTATTTTATGTGCTCCCCACCTCCCAGTTGTACTGCTTTTGGATGTCCTGAAGTTTAAAGAGTTTCTGTGTCCCTTAATGGATGAGACAGAAAATTAAATTTTTTATACTGGAGTCCACTGAATGACAGGAGCCCTGGGAGGTCGTATGGTCATCGGTAACAAAATGTTCTCTCAAAATGTTGACTTTGGACGCAGCCTACAAGGTAGTTCTGTGCTAGTACTTGGTGGCATCCAGAACTGCACATGCAATACCCTCCTATCCAAAGACATGTTTCCGAGGATGTCCTACTGACTGCACTGTCATTTTTATAGGTGGTCAATTGGTTTTGGAGTATGGAAGCCTATGGAAGATGTGGGAATTTTATGAGAGCAATCTTAGTGGGTGTTTTCTTCATCTCCTCATTGTCCTCCGATGTATTCTTCCTCTTTTCTCCTTCCACTTTTCCTCCACCTCTTCAGCCCAGACTTCCTTCTTCACCATTATACTCCTTCCCTTCATTCTCGTTTTCTAATCTTCAGAAGACGACGCAATACTGTTTATGGGTTTAGAGATGTAAATGCCTCTGTTATTAGAAACTGCAGGCGGGTTTTTTTTTTTTTGCAGAACAGAGTTCTTAACCTTACCTATTATGTAACATCTCCTGTTCCTCAGGACTCCTCTCTGCCGCTGGCCGTCTTTGTTTGGGATGTGGAGAATTCTGGTGATGAGGAGGCTGAAGTGTCCATCATGTTCACCATGAGGAATGGAAGTGGCACCAAGACAGACAAGGCCGGGGGCCATTGGAATGAGCCATTTCATCTCAGCAGAGAGGGGGGGCAGTGTCTGGTGTGCTGCTTCATCACTGTACTGCCGTCAATGCATTCACTCTGGGCATAGCCGTACGAGAGAGGGTGAGCAAAGGAAAGTTCACATGACGGGTTATCATCATGGTCTGTATCATACAAGAGAGGTTAAGTGAGGGGGAAAAATTGAGGGTCATTATCAAAGTCCATAGCCATACGAAAGAGGGTGAGCAGGAGGGAGCACAGAATGAGGGTCATTATCAATGTCCATAGCCATACGAGGGAAGAATCACCTGAAGAGGGTCCTGGGCATAGCCATACAAGAGCGTTATCCTTGGGATCAATCATATGATGGGGGACAAAGCTCATTGGTGGCATCAATCAAATCAGGGGGCTCAGTGGCCTCACATTCAGATGGGGGAGGGCATTAGAGGCATCACTTAGTAAGTTGGAAGAGGGGCTCATGCTAGCGTCACATTAGGTGGTCAGATGAGGTTTTCAGGAGGGTTTCATTGGTGGCATTACATTATGCAGTTGGATCCGGGGTCTTATTGATGGCGTCGCATTCAGCTGTTGGATCAGGGGACTCATTGGCAGTGTCACATTGATGGACAGATCAGGGAGATCATTGGTGGCAACATGTTAGGTGATCAAATCTGGAAGCACATTGGCAGTATCACATTGAGTGGTTAGATCAAGGGGCTCATTGGTGGTGTCACATTGGGTGATCACATCAGGGGCTAATTGGTGGTGTCACATTGGGTGATCACATCAGGGGCTAATTGGTGGTGTCACATTGGGTGATCACATCAGGGGCTCATTGGTGGTTTCACATTGGGTGATCACATCAGGGGCTCATTGGTGGTGTCACATTGGGTGATCACATCAGGGGCTCATTGGTGGTGTCACATTGGGTGATCACATCAGGGGCTCATTGGTGGTGTCACATTGGGTGATCACATCAGGGGCTCATTGGGTGGTGTCACATTGGGTGATCACATCAGGGGCTCATTGGTGGTGTCACATTGGGTGATCACATCAGGGGCTCATTGGTGGTGTCACATTGGGTGATCACATCAGGGGCTCATTGGTGGTGTCACATTGGGTGATCACATCAGGGGCTCATTGGTGGTGTCACATTGGGTGATCACATCAGGGGCTCATTGGTGGTGTCACATTGGGTGATCACATCAGGGGACTCATTGGTGGCATAACATTTTGTGTGATTCAAACAGGGCTCATTGCCAATGTCACGTTGGACAGATAAATGGGGGTCCATTGGTGATGTCACAATGGGAGATCGGATTTGAGGGCTCATTGATGGATTCACATTGGGGGGATCAGATCAGGGGGGCTAATTGGTCACTTCACACTGGGGGATCAGATCAGAGGGGCTTATTGGTCACTTCACACTGAGGGATCAGATCAGGGGGGCTAATTGGTGGAGTTGCATTGGTCGATCAGAGCAGGTTGCTAATTGGTGGGGTCACATTGGGATCAGATCATCAGGGGGTCATTGGTTGAGTCACATTGAGGGATCAGATCAGGTTGCACATTGATGGAGTCACATTGGGGGATCAGATGAGGGGGCTCATTGATGGAGTCACACTGGGGGGGGTTCAGATCAGGGAGTCAATAGTGTAGTCACATTGGGTGATCAGATTAGGGAGTCATTGGTGGAGTCACATTGGGTGATCAGATTAGGGAGTCATTGGTGGAGTCACATTGGGGTAATCAGATCAGTGAGATCAATAGTGTAGTCACTTTGGGGGATCAGATCAGGAGGTCATTGGTTGAGTCACATTGGAAGATCAGATCAGTTTGCACATTGGTGGAGTCACATTGGGGGATCAGATCAGGAGGTCATTGGTGGGGTCACATTGGGGAACCAGATCAGGGGGGCTCATTGGTGGAGTCACATTGGAAGATCAGATCAGTTTGCACATTGGTGGAGTCACATTGGGGGATCAGATCAGGTTGCACATTGGTGGGGTCACATTGGGGAACCAGATCAGGAGGTCATTGGTGGAGTCACATTGGGTGATCAGATCAGGTTGCACATTGGTGGGGTCACATTGGGTGCTCAGATCAGGGGGGCTCATTGGTTGAGTCACATTGGGGGATCAGATCAGGTTGCACATTGGTGGAGTCATATTGGGGAATCAGATTAGGGGGTCATTGGTGTAGATCAAGGGGTCATTGGTGGGGTCACATTTGGTGATCAGATCAGGTTGCACATTGGTGTGGTCACATTGGGGAACCAGATCAGGGGGTCATTGGTGGAGTCACATTGGGTGATCAGATCAGGTTGCACATTGGTGGGGTCACATTGGGTGCTCAGATCAGGGGGGCTCATTGGTTGAGTCACATTGGGGGATCAGATCAGGTTGCACATTGGTGGAGTCATATTGGGAAATCAGATTAGGGGGTCTTTGGTGGGGTCACATTGGGTGATTAGATCAGGTTGATCAATAGTGGGGGTCACATTGTGGAATCAGATCAGGGGGTCATTGGTGGAGTCACATTGGGAGATCAGATCAGGGGGTCAATGGTGGTGTCACATTGGTGATCAGATCAGGGGGCCATTGGTGGAGTCACATTGGGTGATCAGATCAGGGGTCATTGGTGGAGTCACATTGGGTGATCAGATCAGGGGGTCATTGGTGGAGTCACATTGGGCGATCAGATTAGGGGGCCATTGGTGGAGTCACATTGGGGGCGATCAGATCAGGGGGCCATTGGTGCAGTCACATTGGGCGATCAGATTAGGGGCCATTGGAGGAGTCACATTGGGCGATCAGATCAGGGAGTCATTGGTGGAGGTCACATTGGGCGATCAGATCAGGGGGTCATTGGTGGAGTCACATTGGGTGATCAGATCAGGGGGTCATTGGTGGAGTCACATTGGGTGATCAGATCAGGGGGTCATTGGTGGGGTCACATTGGGGGATCAGATCAGGGGGTCATTGGTGGGGTCACATTGGGTGATCAGATCAGGGGGTCATTGGTGGAGTCACATTGGGCGATCAGATTAGGGGGCCATTGGTGGAGTCACATTGGGCGATCAGATCAGGGGGTCATTGGTGGAGTCACATTGGGCGATCAGATTAGGGGGCCATTGGTGGAGTCACATTGGGCGATCAGATCAGGGGGTCATTGGTGGAGTCACATTGGGCGATTAGATCAGGGGCCATTGGAGGAGTCACATTGGGCGATCAGATCAGGGAGTCATTGGTGGAGGTCACATTGGGCGATCAGATCAGGGGGTCATTGGTGGAGTCACATTGGGTGATCAGATCAGGGGGTCATTGGTGGGGTCACATTGGGGGATCAGATCAGGGGGTCATTGGTGGGGTCACATTGGGTGATCAGGTCAGAGGGGTCATTGGTGGGGTCACAATGGGGGATCAGGTCAGAGGGGTCATTGGTGGGGTCACAATGGGGGATCAGATCAGGGGGTCATTGGTGGGGTCACATTGGGTGATCAGGTCAGAGGGGTCATTGGTGGGGTCACATTGGGTGATCAGGTCAGAGGGGTCATTGGTGGGGTCACATTGGGGGATCAGATCAGAGGGGTCATTGGTGGAGTCACATTGGGTGATCAGGTCAGAGGGGTCATTGGTGGGGTCACAATGGGGGATCAGGTCAGAGGGGTCATTGGTGGGGTCACAATGGGGGATCAGATCAGGGGGTCATTGGTGGGGTCACATTGGGTGATCGGGTCAGAGGGGTCATTGGTGGGGTCACAATGGGGGATCAGGTCAGGGGCATAATTGCAGTTGTGTGTTTTCTCCCCAGCCCGGGATACACATATCCCATTGTACGGAGTTTGACCCCAACGGGATGGGACTGGACATTTGGAAAGACTTGCTGGAAGACGGACGTTTGAACTCCACCCCTAGTAAGTGTTGGGATCACGAAGTGTACCTGTCTACTCATGTGGTTCTCATCAGTGCTGCATCTACCAATTAGGGAACAGATCTCTGCACAGATTGCAGTAGCAGATCCACTGAACCCTCTAATAAAGCGGAACACCTCCCGAGACACAAGGAAAGGGGTCACCTCAGGGGACACACGAGGAAAGGGTTACCTCCCGGGACACACGAGGAAAGGGTTACCTCCCGGGACACACGAGGAAAGGGTTACCTCCCGGGACACACGAGGAAAGGGTTACCTCCCGGGACACAAGGAAAAGGGGTCACCTCAGGGGACACACGAGGAAAGGGTTACCTCCCGGGACACAAGGAAAGGGGTCACCTCCCGGGACACAAGGAAAGGGGTCACCTCCCGGGACACACAAGGTAAGGGTTACCTCCCGGGACACACTAGGAATAGGGTCACCTCCTGGGACAGACGAGGAAAGGGGTCACCTCTCGGGACACGCGAGGAAAGGGGTTACCTCCCAAGACACAAGGAAAGGGGTCACCTCCCGAGACACAAGGAAAGGGGTCACCTCTCGGGACACATGAGGAAAGGGGTCACTTCTCAGGACACACGAGGAAAGGGTTACCTCCCGGGACACACGAGGAAAGGGGTCACCTCTCGGGACACACGAGGAAAGGGGTCACCTCTCGGGACACACGAGGAAAGGGGTCACCTCTCGGGACACACGAGGAAAGGGGTCACCTCAGGGGACACACGAGGAAAGGGTTACCTCCCGGGACACAAGGAAAAGGGGTCACCTCAGGGGACACACGAAGAAAGGGTTACCTCCCGAGACACAAGGAAAGGGGTCACCTCTCGGGACACACGAGGAAAGGGTTACCTCCCGGGACACACGAGGAAAGGGTTACCTCCCGAGACACAAGGAAAGGGGTCACCTCTCGGGACACACAAGGAAAGGGGTCACCTCAGGGGACACACGAGGAAAGGGGTTACCTCCCGAGACACAAGGAAAGGGGTCGCCTCCCGGGACACAAGGAAAGGGGTCGCCCTCCCGGGACACACGAGGAAAGGGTTACCTCCCGGGACACAAGGAAAGGGGTCACCTCTCGGGACACACGAGGAAAGGTTACCTCCCGAGAGACAAGGAAAAGGGGTCACCTCAGGGACACACTAGGAAAAGGGTTACCTCCCGGGGGACACAAGGAAAGGGGTCACCTCTCGGGACACATGAGGAAAGGGTTACCTCCCGGGACACACGAGGAAAGGGGTCACCTCTCGGGGACACACGAGGAAAGGGGTCACCTCAGGGGACACACGAGGAAAGGGTTACCTCCCGAGACACAAGGAAAGGGGTCACCTCTCGGGACACACGAGGAAAGGGTTACCTCCCGGGACACACTAGGAAAAGGGTCACCTCCCTGGGGACACAAGGAAAGGGGTCACCTCTCGGGACACAAGGAAAGGGGTCACCTCTCGGGACACAAGGAAAGGGGTCACCTCTCGGGACACAAGGAAAGGGGTCACCTCCCGGGACACACTAGGAAAAGGGTCACCTCAGGGGACACAAGGAAAGGGGTCACCTCTTGGGACACACAAGGAAAGGGGTCACCTCCCGGGACACACAAGGAAAGGGGTCACCTCAGGGGACACAAGGAAAGGGGTCACCTCTTGGGACACACAAGGAAAGGGGTCACCTCTCGGGACACACAAGGAAAGGGGTCACCTCAGGGGACACACGAGCAAAGGGGTCACCTCCCGGGAACACGAGAAAAGATGTCACCTCCTGGGGCACATAGATGGTATACCCGGGTTCCTAGTGCTGCCTCCTACTGCAAAGTACAGGTAATTGTCAACATACAAATTTTGGGGCTCCTTTAACACAGAGGAGGCCCTGACTGAATCTAACCCAAACCCCGGATCACTTGTATCACATGCCCCTCCCTGTTAGATTGTAAGCTCTGTGGGGCAGGACTGTCCTCACCCTCTTGTATTATCTTGTAAAATGCTTCATGAAGAGTTGGCGCTCAGTAATTCCTGTATTGTAATATTGATAAATACCGTCTGATGGCACAGGCCCGAGTTCTCACACCGTGAAGGGGAAGAAGATCGCAGCGGGTGTGGCAGGAGGGTGCTCAGTGAGCTCCGGGGGACGCGGGACTTTGGAATTCTGTCTGTCCTGGGACATGCCCCGGATCCGCTTCGGTTCAGGAGAGAGAGAGAGTACTGCCGGTAGGTGTCCATCCCCTTCCGGTGTCCATCCCCTTCCGGTGTCCATCCCCTTCCAGTGACCATCACTGTACGCCTCTGACCTGCACTACTAACCTTCATTGTACACCACTGACCTTCACCCCCTGACCATCACCATACACCTCTGACCCTACACCCCCTCACCCCCTGACCATCACCATATACTACTGACCATCACCATACACTACTGACCTTCACCCCCTGACCATCACCATACACCTCTGACCCTCACCCCCTGACCATCACCATATACTACTGACCATCACCATACACTACTGACCTTCACCCCCTGACCATCACCATATACTACTGTCCTTCGCCCCCTGATCATCACCGTACATCACTGACCTTCACCATATACTACTGACCTTCACCCCCGGGCCATCACCATATACTACTGACCTTCACCCCCTGACCATCACCATATACTACTGACCTGTTCACCCCCTGACCATCACCATATACTACTGACCTTCACTCCCTGACCATCACTGTACACCACCTGACCATTACCCTATGACCATCACCATACACCTCTGACCCTCACCCCCTGACCATCACCATATACTACTGACCTTCACCCCCGGGCCATCACCATATACTACTGACCTTCACCCCCGGGCCATCACCATATACTACTGACCTTCACCCCCTGACCATCACCATATACTACTGACGTTCACACCCCTGACCATCACCATATACTACTGACCTTCACTCCCTGACCATCACCATATACTACTGACGTTTCACCCCCTGACCATCACCATATACTACTGACCTTCACTCCCTGACCATCACTGTACACCACCTGACCATTACCCTATGACCATCACCATACACCTCTGACCCTCACCCCCTGACCATCACTATATACTACTGACCTTCACCCCCTGACCATCACTATATACTGCTGACCTTCACCCCCTGACCATCACCATACACTGATCTTCACTGTCCACCCCTGACCATCATCGTCCATCCCTGACCGTCATCGTCCATCCCTGACCGTCATCGTCCACCCCTGACCCGTCATCGTCCACCCCTGACCCGTCACCGTCCACCCCTGACCGTCACCGTCCACCCCTGACCGTCACCGTCCACCCCTGACCGTCACCGTCCACCCCTGACCGTCACCGTCCACCCCTGACCGTCACCGTCCACCCCTGACCATCACCGTCCACCCCTGACCATCACCGTCCACCCCTGACCATCACCGTCCACCCCTGACCATCACCGTCCACCCCTGACCATCACCGTCCACCCCTGACCCTTCACCTTCACCGTCCACCCCTGACCTTCACCGTCCACCCCTGACCTTCACCGTCCACCCCTGACCTTCACCGTCCACCCCTGACCATCACCGTCCACCCCTGACCATCACCATGCACTGATCTTCACTGTCCACCCCTGACCATCACCGTCCACCCCTGACCATCACCGTCCACCCCTGACCTTCACCGTCCACCCCTGACCTTCACCGTCTACCCCTGACCATCACCGTCCACCCCTGACCATCACCGTCCACCCCTGACCTTCACCGTCCACCCCTGACCTTCACCGTCCACCCCTGACCTTCACCGTCCACCCCTGACCTTCACCGTCCACCCCTGACCTTCACCGTCCACCCCTGACCTTCACCGTCCACCCCTGACCTTCACCGTCCACCCCTGACCTTCACCGTCTACCCCTGACCATCACCGTCCCCCCTGACCATCACCGTCCATCCCTGACCATCATCGTCCCACCCTGACCATCACCGTCCACCCCATGACCATCACCGTCTACCCCTGACCATCACCGTCCACCCCTGACCATAATGAACGATCATTCCACATAACAGATCGGTTTGGTGCAATGTGATTGGATATTCTTCTCAATTATAATAACCATATATAGACCAGACTGCAGATTTTAGTTGGTTTTTGAAACCTGCAACCTGGATATAAGAACAGTCATGTTCCTGCAACGTGTCCTGTCTGTGCTATCCTCATCCTGCCTCTTCTCTCTGCAGACGGTACACACGTTTCTATTTTTTTTTTATTTTAACATATATCTAAATATTTTTTTTTTTCGGCACTCAGGGGAATGCGGCATCAGCTCTTTGTCATTATGGTTTGTCCCACTATGAGGAATGGGAGCGGAGGATGGAGGCCTGGCAAGACCCGATCCTGAGAGATGAGTATGTCCTAAAGATCTGACTGGGGTACAAGGGAGGCTACACTGCTATAGGTCCCGTGATTGCGCTCCGTCTTCTATACGTCCTGTGATTGCGCTCCGTGTTCTGTAGGTCCTGTGATTGCGCTCAGTCTTCTGTAGGTCCGGTGATTGCACTCCGTCTTCTGTAGGTCCGGTGATTGCGCTCCGTCTTCTGTAGGTCCGGTGATTGCGCTCAGTCTTCTGTAGGTCCGGTGATTGTGCTCCGTGTTCTATACGTCCGGTGATTGCGCTCAGTCTTCTGTAGGTCCGGTGATTGCACTCCGTGTTCTATACGTCCTGTGATTGCGCTCCGTGTTCTGTAGGTCCGGTGATTGCGCTCAGTCTTCTGTAGGTCCGGTGATTGCACTCCGTCTTCTGTAGGTCCGGTGATTGCACTCAGTCTTCTGTAGGTCCGGTGATTGCGCTCAGTCTTCTGTAGGTCCCGGTGATTGCGCTCCGTCTTCTGTAGGTCCTGTGATTGCGCTCCGTGTTCTGTAGGTCCGGTGATTGCGCTCAGTCTTCTGTAGGTCCGGTGATTGCGCTCCGTCTTCTATAGGTCCTGTGATTGCGCTCCGTGTTCTGTAGGTCCGGTGATTGCACTCAGTCTTCTGTAGGTCCGGTGATTGCGCTCCGTCTTCTGTAGGTCCGGTGATTGCGCTCCGTCTTCTGTAGGTCCGGTGATTGCACTCAGTCTTCTGTAGGTCCGGTGATTGCGCTCAGTCTTCTATAGGTCCTGTGATTGCGCTCCGTCTTCTGTAGGTCCGGTGATTGCGCTCAGTCTTCTGTAGGTCCGGTGATTGCGCTCAGTCTTCTGTAGGTCCGGTGATTGCGCTCCGTCTTCTGTAGGTCCGGTGATTGCGCTCAGTCTTCTGTAGGTCCGGTGATTGCGCTCCGTCTTCTGTAGGTCCGGTGATTGCGCTCCGTCTTCTGTAGGTCCGGTGATTGCACTCAGTCTTCTGTAGGTCCGGTGATTGCGCTCCGTCTTCTGTAGGTCCGGTGATTGCGCTCCGTCTTCTGTAGGTCCGGTGATTGCACTCCGTCTTCTGTAGGTCCGGTGATTGCACTCAGTCTTCTTCTGTAGGTCCGGTGATTGCGCTCCGTCTTCTGTAGGTCCGGTGATTGCGCTCCGTCTTCTGTAGGTCCGGTGATTGCACTCAGTCTTCTGTAGGTCCGGTGATTGCGCTCCGTCTTCTGTAGGTCTGGTGATTGCGCTCCGTCTTCTGTAGGTCCGGTGATTTGCGTCTCCAAGGTCTTGCCTGTAGGAGATCATTTGGTTATGTAAGAATGAAGCTCAGTCACCTCTGTAGGTCAATCGGTGATTGCCTCAACCTTCTGTAGCTCCGGTGATTGCGCTCCGTCTTCTGTAGGTCCGTGATTGCCCAGTCTTCTTGAGGTCCGTGATTGCGCCCGTCTTCTGTAGGTCCGGTGATTGCCTCTTCTTCTGTACCCCTCGTGTCCCCCTTCTTCTGACCCTGCGCTCCGTCTTCTTCTGCACCCCTGATGTGCCTCCGTCTTCTGTAGGTCCGGTGATTGCCTCCGTCTTCTGTGTCCCCTGATTGCGTCCCCCTTCTGTAGGTCCGGTGATTGCCCCTCTTCTGTAGGTCCGGTGATGTCCCTCATTCTTCTAGGTCCCTGATTGCGCTCCCCCCTCCTTTGTCCCCTGATGACTCCTTCTTAGGTGCCCCGGTGATTGCGCTCCGTCCTGTTCTGCCCCGGTGATCTTCTGTGCCTCCTTCCGTCTTCTGTAGGTCCGGTCTCGGTGATTCCTCCTTCGCCCCTGATGTCCTCTTAGGTCCTCTGATGTCCCCCTTCTTCTGTCCTGGTGTGCTCCGTTCTGTAGGTCCGGTGATTGCACTCAGTCTTCTGTAGGTCCGGTGATTGCGCCCCTGTCTTCTGTAGGTCTTCTGCCGTGGTGTGCGCTCCGTCTTCTGTAGGTCCGGTGATTGCGCTCGTGTTCTGTAGGTCCGGTGATTGATGATTGCGCTCCCTTCCGGTGATTCTTCTGTAGGTCCGTGATTGCGCCTCCGTCTTCTATAGGTCCGGTGATTGCGCTCCTCAGTCTTCTGTATGTCCCGGTTTGCACTCCTGATGTCTCCTCCTTCTAGGTCCGGTGATGTCCTTCCTTCTGATTGCGCTCCGTCCCCTTCTGTAGGTCCGGTCCTTTGCCACTCCGTCTTCTGTAGGTCGGTGATTGCACTCTTCTTCTGTAGTCCCCCGGTGATTGCCTCTCGTGTCTTCTGTAGGTGTCCCCCTGTGATTGCCCCTTCGTCCTTCTGTGTCCGGTGATTGCGCTCATGTCCCTTCTAGGTCCGTGATTGCACTCAGTCTTCTGTAGGTCCGGGTGATTGCCCTGATGTCCCCCTTCTTCTGCCCGGTGATTGCCTCTTCTGCCTGTTCTGTAGGTCCGGTCCTTTGCCCCTGAGTCTTCTCTGTAGGTCCGGTGATTGCGCTCAGTCTTCTGTAGGTCCCGGTGATTGCCCGCTGGTGTCTTCTGTGGTCCGGTGTCCTTCTTCTGCCCGGTGATTGCCCTCAGTCCTCTGTAGGTCCGGTGATTGCGCTGATGTCTTCTGTCTGGTCCGGTGATTGCCTCCGTCTTCTGTAGTGTCCGGTGATTGCGTGTCCCTCTTCTGTGATTGCGAGCGCTCCCCCTCTTCTGCCCGGTGTCCCGGTCTTTGCTGCTCCGTCTTCTGTAGGTCCGGTGATTGCGCTCCGTCTTCTGTAGGTCCGGTGATTGCACTCCGTCTTCTGTAGGTCCGGTGATTGCACTCGTCTTTCGGTTCTGAGTCTTCTGTAGGTCCGGTGATTGGGCTCCGTCTTCTGTAGGTCCGGTGATTGCGCTCCGTCTTCTGTAGGTCCGGTGATTGCGCTCTCGTAGGTCCTTCTGTAGGTCCGTGATTGCGCTACCGTCTTCTGTAGGTCCGGTGATTGCGTTCAGTCTTCTGTAGGTCCGGTGATTGCGCTCCGTCTCTGTAGGTCCGGTGATTGCGCTCCGTCTTCTGTAGGGGGTCCGGTGATTGCACTCCGTCTTCTGTAGGTCCGGTGATTGCACTCAGTCTTCTGTAGGTCCGGTGATTGCGCTCCGTCTTCTGTAGGTCCGGTGATTGCGCTCCGTCTTCTATACGTCCTGTGATTGCGCTCCGTGTTCTGTAGGTCCGGTGATTGCACTCAGTCTTCTGTAGGTCCGGTGATTGCGCTCCGTCTTCTGTAGGTCCGGTGATTGCACTCCGTCTTCTGTAGGTTCCGGTGATTGCACTCAGTCTTCTGTAGGTCCGGTGATTGCGCTCAGTCTTCTATACGTCCTGTGATTGCGCTCCGTGTTCTGTAGGTCCGGTGATTGCGCTCAGTCTTCTGTAGGTCCGGTGATTGCACTCAGTCTTCTGTAGGTCCGGTGATTGCACTCAGTCTTCTGTAGGTCCGGTGATTGCACTCAGTCTTCTGTAGTCCGGTGATTGCGCTCAGTCTTCTGTAGGTCGGTGATTGCGCTCAGTCTTCTGTAGGTCCGGTGATTGCGCTCAGTCACCATTCTTCTGTAGGTCCGGTGATTGCACTCAGTCTTCTGTAGGTCCGGTGATTGCGCTCCGTCTTCTGTAGGTCCGGTGATTGCGCTCCGTCTTCTGTAGGTCCGGTGATTGCGCTCCGTCTTCTGTAGGTCCGGTGATTGCGTTCAGTCTTCTGTAGGTCCGGTGATTGCGCTCCGTCTTCTGTAGGTCCGGTGATTGCGCTCCGTCTTTCTAGGTCCGGTGATTGCACTCCGTCTTCTGTAGGTCCGGTGATTGCACTCCGTCTTCTGTAGGTCCAGTGATTGCGCTCCGTCTTCTGTAGGTCCGGTGATTGCGCTCCGTCTTCTGTAGGTCCGGTGATTGCGCTCCGTCTTCTGTAGGTCCGGTGATTGCGCTCCATTCTTCTGTAGGTCCGGTGATTGCGCTCCGTCTTCTGTAGGTCCGGTGATTGCGCTCCGTCTTCTGTAGGTCCGGTGATTGCACTCAGTCTTCTGTAGGTCCGGTGATTGCACTCAGTCTTCTGTAGGTCCGGTGATTGCGCTCCGTCTTCTGTAGGTCCGGTGATTGCACTCAGTCTTCTGTAGGTCCGGTGATTGCGCTCCGTCTTCTATAGGTCCGGTGATTTTGTGTCTCCAAGGTGTTGCCAGAGAGGAGATCATTTGTTATGTAAGAATGAAGGAAAGTCACCTCCAGTTTACCCCTTACAACCTCCACCAATCTGGAATATGAACCCTTTCCCCAACCCCCGCCTACCCCTTGTGTCCCCCTTCTTCTGACCCTTGTGTCCCCCTTCTTCTGACCCTTGTGTCCCCCCTTCTTCTGACCCTCGTGTCCCCCCTTCTTCTGACCCTCGTGTCCCCCTTCTTCTGACCCTCGTGTCCCCCTTCTTCTGACCCTCGTGTCCCCCTTCTTCTGACCCTCGTGTCCCCTTCTTCTGCCCCTGGTGTCCCCCTTCTTCTGCCCCTGATGTCCCCCTTCTTCTGCCCCTGATGTCCTCCTCCTTCTGCCCCTGATGTCCTCCTCCTTCTGCCCCTGATGACCTCCTCCTTCTGCCCCTGATGACCTCCTCCTTCTGCCCCTGATGACCCCCTCCTTCTGCCCCTGATGTCCTCCTTCTTCTGCCTCTCGTGTCCTCCTTCTGCCCCTCCTTGTCTCCCCCTCCTTCTGCCCCTGGTGTCCCCCTCCTTCTGCCCTGATGTCCCCCTCCTTCTGCCCCTGATGTCCCCCTCCTTCTGCCCCTGATGTCCCTCCTTCTTCTGCCCCCTGGTGTCCCCCTCCTTCTGCCCCTGATGTCCTCCCCCTCCTTCTGCCCCAGGGGGGTGTCCCCCTCCTTCTGCCCCTGATGTCCCCCTCCTTCTGCCCCTGATGTCCCCCTCCTTCTGCCCCTGATGTCCCCCTTCTTCTGCCCCTGATGTCCCCTTCTTCTTCTGTCCTCCCCTCCTAGACGGCTCCCCTCCTGGTACAAGTCGGCATTGTTCAATGAGCTGTATTTCATGGCGGATGGTGGTACGGTGTGGGTGGAGCTCCCGGCTGACAGCTGTGATGACGACGATCTGATGAAGATTGGAGGGAAGGAGATCCCCGGCATGAAGAGTCTCCTGGAGGAGTACGGGCGCTTCGCCTACCTGGAGGGTGCGTACCGCTTACCCCTCCCCCCCATGTCACACCCAACAACCAATGTATGGGCATTACCCCCTGTAGAGTGATGTGTGGGGTGTCCCCTCACCATTATATACAGGGGGAGGGGACACAGGACCCCTGCAGGGGGAGGGGACACAGGACAGGAAGTCACCATTATATGCAGGGGGGAGGGTGGGTGTCACCATTATATCACAGGACAGGAAGTCACCATTATATACAGGGGGAGGGACACAGGAAGTCACCATTTTATATGCAGGGGGAGGGGAGCAGGAAAGGACAGGGGGAGGGGACACAGGACAGGAAGTCACCATTATATGCAGGGGGAGGGGACACAGGACAGGAAGTCACCATTATATGCAGGGGGAGGGGACAGGAAGAAGTCACCATTATATGCAGGGGGAGGGGACACAGGACAGGACATTATATGCAGGGGAGGGGGACAGGACAGGAAGTCACCATTTATATGCAGGGGGAGGGGACACAGGACAGGAAGTCACTTTTATATGCAGGGGGAGGGACGGGGAGGAAGTCACCATTATAGGGGGGAGGGGTCACAGGACAGGAATCACCATTATATACAGGGGGAGGGGACACGGGACAGGAAGTCACCATTATATACAGGGGGAGGGGACAGGACAGGAAGTCACCATTATATACAGGGGTCAGAGGGACACGGGGACAGGAAGTTCACCATTATACAGGGGGAGGGACACAGGACAGGAAGTCACCATTATATACAGGGGGGGGGGGACAGGAAGTCACCATTATATACAGGGGGAGGGGACGCGGGGACAGGAGTCACCATTATATACAGGGGGGGGGGGCGCGGGACAGGAAGTCACCATTATATACAGGGGGAGGGGACGCGGGACAGGAAGTCACCATTATATACAGGGGGAGGGGACGCGGGACAGGAAGTCACCATTATATACAGGGGGGGGACGCAGGACAGGAAGTCACCATTATATACAGGGGGAGGGGACACGGGACAGGAAGTCACCATTATATACAGGGGGAGGGGACACGGGACAGGAAGTCACCATTATATACAGGGGGAGGGGACACGGGACAGGAAGTCACCATTATATACAGGGGAGGGGACGCAGGACAGGAAGTCACCATTATATACAGGGGGAGGGGACACGGGACAGGAAGTCACCATTATATACAGGGGGAGGGGCACAGGACAGGAAGTCACCATTATATACAGGGGGAGGGGACAGGGACAGGAAGTCACCATTATATACAGGGGGAGGGGACGCGGGACAGGAAGTCACCATTATATACAGGGGGAGGGGGGGGACAGGAAGTCACCATTATATACAGGGGGAGGGGACACAGGACAGTCACCATTATATACAGGGGGAGGGGACGCAGGACAGGAAGTCACCATTATATACAGGGGGAGGGGACGCAGGACAGGAAGTCACCATTATATACAGGGGGAGGGGGACAGGAAGTCACCATTATATACAGGGGGAGGGGACGCAGGACAGGAAGTCACCATTATATACAGGGGGGGGAGGGGACAGGAAGTCACCATTATATACAGGGGGGGGGACGCAGGACAGGAAGTCACCATTATATACAGGGGGGGGGGAGGGGACAGGAAGTCACCATTATATACAGGGGGGAGGGGACAGGAAGCACCATATACAGGGGGAGGGGACGCAGGACAGGAAGTCACCATTATATATACAGGGGGGGGGCGCAGGACAGGAAGTCACCATTATATACAGGGGGAGGGGACAGGAAGTCACCATTATATACAGGGGGAGGGGGGCAGGGGGAAGTCACCTTTTATATACAGGGGAAGGGGACAGGAAGTCACCATTATATACAGGGGGAGGGGACAGGAAGTCACCTTTTATATACAGGGGGAGGGGGCGCAGTGACAGTGTACAGTCCCCCCAGTATAACGTTTGGTCTCTTCCTCAGGTCAGGAGTATCGGATGTATAACACATACGATGTACATTTCTACGCCTCGTTTGCACTCATCATGCTGTGGCCACAGTTGGAGCTCAGTCTGCAGTATGATATGGGTGAGTGGCCCTCGGGGGGTGGATATGATTTTCCTCCAATAAAAGAGAAGATCTCATTCACTATATTGCCCAAGTATTGTCCCCGCCCTCCATATCATGTGATTCAGGTGTTCCAATGCCCTCCATATCGTGATTCAGGTGTTGCAATCCCCTCCACATCATGTGATTCTGGTGTTCCAATTCCCTCCATATCATGTGATTCAGGTGTTCCAATCCCCTCCCAATCATGTGATTCCGGTGTTCCAATCCCCTCCATATCGTGATTCAGGTTTTCCAGTCCCCTCCACATCATGTGATTCTGGTGTTCCAATCCCCTCCATATCATAATGTGATTCCAGGTGTTCCAATCCCCTCCATATCATGTGATTCCCGGTGTTCCAATCCTCTCCATATCATGTGATTCAGGTTCCAATCCCCTCCACATCATGTGATTCAGTGTTCCAATCCACTCCACATCATGTGTGATTCCGGTGTTCCAATCCCCTCCATATCATGTGATTCAGGGTTTCCAATCCCTCCACATCATGTGATTCAAGTGTTCCAATCCACTCCACCCGGTGTTCCAATCCCCTCCTTATCATGTGATTCCGGTGTGTTCCAATCCCCTCCATATCATGTGATTCGGGGTGTTCCCAATCCCCTCCATATCATGTGATTCGGGTGTCCCAATCCCCTCCATATCATGTGATTCGGGTGTTCCAATCCCCTCCATATCATGTGATTCGGGTGTTTTCCAATCCCCTCCATATCATGTGATTCGGGTGTTCCAATCCCCTCCATATCATGTGATTCGGGTGTTCCAATCCCCTCCATATCATGTGATTCGGGTGTTCCAATCCCCTCCATATCATGTGATTCGGGTGTTCCAATCCCCTCCATATCATGTGATTCGGGGTGTTCCAATCCTCCACCATGTGATTCGGGTGCTCCAATCCCCTCCCAATCATGTGATTCAGGTGCTCCAATCCCCTCCCTCCCAATCATGTGATTCAGGTGCTCCAATCCCCTCCCAATCATGTGATTCAGGTGTTCCCAATCCCCTCCATATCATGTGATTCAGGTGTTCCAATCCCCTCCATATCATGTGATTCAGGTGTTCCAATCCCCCTCCATATCATGTGATTCAGGTGTTCCAATCCCCTCCATGGACACAGGTGTATACAATCAAGCCCCTAGGCATGCAGACGGCTTCTACAAACATTGGTGAAAGAATGGGTCGCTCTCAGGAGCTCAGTGACTCCAAGCGTGGTCCCGTGATAGGTGGCCACCTGGGCAATAAGTCCATCCGTGACATTTCCTGGCTACTAAATATTCCACGCTCAAACTGTTAGTGGGATTATAACAAAGTAGAAGCAACTGGGAAAACAGCCACTCAGCTGCCAAGTGGTAGGCCACGTCACATAACAGGGCGGGGTCAGCGCATGCTGAAGCGCACAGTGCGCAGAAGTCACCAACTGTCTGCAGAGTCAATAGCTAAAGACCTCCAAACTTGGTGTGGCCTTCAGATGAGCCCAACAACAGTGCGTAGAGAGCTTCATGGAATGGGTTTCCATGGCCTGAGCAGCTGCTCCAAGCCTTCCATCACCAAGTGCAATGCAAAGCTTCAGATGACGTGGTGTAAAGCACGCCGCCACTGGACTCTAGAGCAGAGGAGGTGTGTTCTCTGGAGGGACCAATCATACTTCTCTGTCTGGCAATCTGATGGACGTGTCTGGGTTTGGCGGTTGCCAGGAGAACGGTACTTGCCTGACTGCATTGTGCCAAGTGTAAAGTTTGGTGGAGGGGGGGGGATTTTGGTGTGGGGGTTTTTTTTTTCAGGGGTGGGCTTGGCCCCCTAGCTCCAGTGAAGGGGAACTCTCAGAGCTGATTTTAAAAAAAAATAAAACTCAGCAGCTACAAAAAAAAGGGTAGCTGCTGACTTTTAATATACAGACACTTACCTGTCCCACCATCCAGCTGTCCTCACCATGGCTGTTTCACCAGCTATCTTCTCTCCCCGGCATCTTCAGTCACAGCCGGGTGCCCACTGAGCATGTGCGAGAAGCACTGCGCTTCGTGAATGGTCCCTGTCACGTGTCCCAGAAGACTACGGGGAGGGGGGAGGACAACTTCACTTCCGATCACCTTAGGCGATTGCAGCGGAAATGGGACCGGGTACCTGTCAAATTCAGGTACCCCCCCCCACTCCCCAAAGGTGCCAATACGTAGCGGGGGACAATGTGTTAAAGCGGAACTTCCCCGTTTTGGTGGAGCTCTGCTTTAAGGCAACATTTTGGACAATTTCATGCTCCCAACTTTGTGGGAGGAGTTTGGGGATGGCCCCTTCCTGTTCCAACATGACTGCCCACCAGTGCACAAAGCAAGGTCCATAAAGACATGGAGGAGCCAGTTTGGGGTGGAGGAACTTGACTGTCCTGCACAGAGTCCTGACCTCAACCCCATAGAACACCTTTGGGATGAATTAGAGGGGAGACTGCGAGCCAGGCCCCCTCCCCCGACATCAGTGCCCCTCCTGACATCCGACATCAGGCCTCCTCCCCCGACATCATCAGTGCCTGACCTGACAAATGTGCTTCTGGAAGAATGGTCCAACCTTCCCATAGACACCCTCCTAAACCTTGTGGACGGCCTTCCCTGTCTTTTCCCCTCAATAGAAGAGTTGAAGCTGTTATAGCTGCAAAGGGCGCGGGGCCAACTCAATATTGAACCCTACGGACTAAGACTGGAAAAGGGGGGCCATTAAAGGTCATGTGTGTGGAAAAGGGCGGGGCCAACTCAATATTTAACCCTACGGACTAAGACTGGAGGGCCATTAAAGGTCATGTGCGTGGAAAGGGCGGGGCCAACTCAATATTGAACCCTACGGACTAAGACTGGGGGCCATTAAAGGTCATGTGTGTGGAAGGGCGGGGCCAACTCAATATTGAACCCTACGGACTAAGACTGGGGGGCCATTAAAGGTCGTGTGTCTGTGGAAAGGGCGGGGCCAACTCAATATTGAACCCTACGGACTAAGACTGGGGGCCATTAAAGGTCATATGTGTGGAAAGGGCGGGGGCCAACTCAATATTGAACCCTACGGACTAAGACTGGGGGGCCATTACAGGTCGTGTGTGGGAAGGGGCGGGGCCAACTCAATATTGAACCCTACGGACTAAGACTGGGGGGGCCATTAAAGGTCGTGTGTGGGAAGGGCGGGGCCAACTCAATATTGAACCCTACGGACTAAGGACTGGGGGGCCATTAAAGGTCATATGTGTGGAAAGGGGAGCGGGGGCCAACTCAATATTGAACCCTACGGACTAAACTGGGGGGCATTAAAGGTCATGTGTGTGGAAAGGGCGGGGCCTACTCAATATTGAACCCTACGGACTAAGACTGGGGGGCCATTAAAGGTCATGTGTGTGGAAAGGGCGGGGCCAACTCAATATTGAACCCTACGGACTAAAAGACTGGGGGGCATTAAAGGTCATGTGTGTGGAAAGGGCGGGGCCAACCAATATTGAACCCTACGGACTAAGACTGGGGGGGCCATTACAGGTCATGTGTGTGGAAAGGGCGGGGGCCCAATACTTGGGACAATATAGTGCATGTACGGTATGGTGGAGCAGGTTAACCCAGAGGAGTAATGACACATACAGACTCTAGGGGGCCCTGTAATATAATTGTGACCAATAGTCCTCTACATTCTCTCCATCCCATTGGTGTCTGTAGGGTCAGGGAGGAGGGGTGCTCAGGGGGGCCAGCTGCCCATCCCAGCCAATCAATTCCTTCCTGAGCACACCTATCCATGGGTGGCAGACAGGAGATTGTATGCTGGTGTGATTGTAAGTTCTAGTGACCAGTCCCTGTAGGCACCAGAAGTTCCCGGATTGTGTCCGACGTGTTCCCGGATTGTGTCCGACGTGTTCCGGATTGTGTCCGACGTGTGTTCCCGGATTGTGTCCGACGTGGTCCCGGTGTTCCCGTGATTGGTGTCCGACGTGTCCCGGATTGTGTCCGACGCGTGTTCCCGGATTGTGTCCGACCGTCCGTGTTCCCGGATTGTGTCCGACGCGTGTTCCCGGATTGTGTCCGACGCGTGTTCCCGGATTGTGTCCACGTGTTCCCGGATTGTGTCCCACGCGTGTTCCCGGATTGTGTCCCACGCGTGTTCTGTCACTTCCGGATTGTGTCCCACGTGTTCCCGGATTGTGTCCCACGCGTGTTCCCGGATTGTGTCCCACGTGTGTTCCCGGATTGTGTCCACGTGTGTTCCCGGATTGTGCCGCGTGTTCCCGAATTGTGTCCCACGTGTTCCCGGATTGTGTCCCACGCGTGTTCCCGGATTTAAATCTGACGTGAATTCCATGTTTTCATTTGTACAATTCCTTCCATTGTAGTTTCCAATCTAACAATCCGCTCACATGGAACATTTCTTTCCTCCAGCGGCGTCAGTTATCCAGCAGGATCTGGAGCAGAGACGCTATTTAATAATGAGCGGGAATTTGGCTCCTGTGAAGACGAGAAATGTGGTCCCCCATGACGTTGGTGACCCAGGTGAGAGGACCACCATCTCCTCTCTCTCCTGTCCTCCATGTCTCTCTCTGCTCCTCCCTCTCCTGTCCTCCATGTGTTATCTTTGCTCCTCCCTCTCCTGTCCTCCATATCTCCCTCTGCTCCTCCCTCTCCTTTCCTCCATATCTCTCTCTGCTCCTCCCTCTCCTGTCCTCCATATCTCTCTCTGCTCCTCCTTCTCCTGTCCTCCATATCTCTCTCTGCTCCTCCTTCTCCTGTCCTCCATATCTCTCTCTGCTCCTCCCTCTCCTTTCCTCAATATCTCTCTCTGCTCTCCCCTGTTCTCCTTTCCTCCATGTTTATCTTTGCTCCTCCTTCTCCTTCCCATGTTCTCTCTCTGCTCCTCCCTCTCCTGTCCTCCATTGTGTCTCTCTCTGCTCCTCCATCTCCTGTCCTCCATGTCTCTCTCTCTGCTCCTCCATCTCCTGTCCTCCATATCTCTCTCTGCTCCTCCCTCTCCTGTCCTCCATGTCTCTCTCTGCTCCTCCATCTCCTGTCCTCCATGTCTCTCTCTCTGCTCCTCCATCTCCTGTCCTCCATATCTCTCTCTGCTCCTCCCATCTCCTGTCCTCCATGTCTCTCTCTGCTCCTCCCTCTCCTTTCCTCCATATCTCTCTGCTCCTCCCTCTCCTGTCCTCCATATCTCTCTGCTCCTCCCTCTCCTGTCCTCTCATGTGTTATCTTTGCTCCTCCTTCTCCTGTCCTCCATGTCTCTCTCTGCTCCTCCCTCTCCTTTCCTTCATATCTCTCTCTGCTCCTCCTTCTCCTGTCCTCCATTCTCTCTCTCTGCTCCTCCTTCTCCTGTCCTCCATGTCTCTCTCTGCTCCTCCATCTCCTGTCCTTCATGTCTCTCTCTGTTCTTCCCTCTCCTGTCCTCCATATCTCTCTGCTCCTCCCTCTCCTTTCCTCCATATCTCTCTGCTCCTCCCTCTCCTGTCCTCCATGTGTTATCTTTGCTCCTCCTTCTCCTGTCCTCCATATCTCTCTCTGCTCCTCCCTCTCCTGTCCTCCATGTCTCTCTCTGCTCCTCCCTCTCCTGTCCTCCATGTCTCTCTCTGCTCCTCCCTCTCCTTTCCTCCATATCTCTCTGCTCCTCCCTCTCCTGTCCTCTATGTGTTATCTTTGCTCCTCCCTCCCCTGTCCTCCATTCTCTCTATGCTCCTCCCTCTCCTTTCCTCCTTGTTCTCTCTCTGCTCCTCCTTCTCCTGTCCTCCATATCTCTCTCTGCTCCTCCGTCTCCTGTCCTCCATGTCTCTCTCTGCTCCTCCATCTCCTGTCCTTCATGTCTCTCTCTGTTCTTCCTCTCCTGTCCTCCATATCTCTCTACTCCTCCCTCTCCTTTCCTCCATTCTCTCTGCTCCTCCCTCTCCTTTCCTCCATATCATTCTTTCTCCTCCTTCTCCTGTCCTCCATGTGTTATCTTTTGCTTCTCCTTCTCCTGTCCTCCCATATATCTCTCTGCTCCTCCCTCTCCTCCTCCATATCTCTCTCTGCTCCTCCGTCTCCTGTCCTCCATGTTTCTCTCTGCTCCTCCCTCTCCTTTCCTCCATATCTCTCTGCTCCTCCCTCTCCTGTCCTCCATGTGTTATCTTTGCTCCTCCATCTCCTGTCCTCCATGTCTCTCTCTGCTCCTCCATCTCCTGTCCTCCATATCTCTCTCTGCTCCTCCATCTCCTCCTCTCTCCATCTTTCTCTCTCTGCTCCCCTCAGCCTCTCTCCTTTCCTCTTTCTTCTCTCTCTGCTCCTCCCTCTCCTGTCCTCCATGTGTTATCTTTGCTCCTCCTTCTCCTGTCCTCCATATCTCTCTCTGCTCCTCCCTCTCCTGTCCTCCATGTCTCTCTCTGCTCCTCCATCTCCTGTCCTCCATGTCTCTCTCTGCTCCTCCCTCTCCTTTCCGCCATATCTCTCTGCTCCTCCCTCCCCTGTCCTCCATGTGTTATTATCTTTGCTCCTCCCTCTCCTGTCCTCCATATCTCTCTCTGCTCCTCCGTCTCCTGTCCTCCATGTCTCTCTCTGCTCTCTTTCTCCTTTCCTCCATTTCTCTCTGCTCCTCCCTCTCCTGTCCTCCATGTGTTTATCTTTGCTCCTCCTCTTCTCCTGTCCTCTTCTGTCTCTCTCTGCTCCTCCTCCATCTCCTGTCCTCCTTATCTCTCTCTGCTCCTCCATCTCCTCCTTCCTCCATGTCTCTCTCTGCTCCTCCCTCTCCTTTCCTCCATATCTCTCTGCTCCTCCCTCTCCTGTCCTCCATGTGTTATCTTTTCTCTCTCCTTCTCCTGTCCTCCATCTTCTCTCTCCTGCTCCTCCCTCTCCTGTCCTCCATGTCTTCTCTCTGCTCCTCCCATCTCCTGTCCTCCTCTCTCTCTTGCTCCTCCCCTCTCCTTTCCTCCATATCTCTCTGCTCCTCCTCCCCTGTCCTCCCTGTTCCTCTTTGCTCCTCCCTCCCTCCTGTCCTCCATATCTCTCTCTGCTCCTCCTTCTTCTGTCTCTTCACGTTTCTCTCTCTGCTCTTCCCTCTCTTCCTGTCCTCCATGTCTCTCTTGCTTTTCCCTCTCCTTTCCTCCTTTCTTTCTCTGTTTCTTTCCTCTCCTGTCCTTTTGTCTCTCTCTGCTTCCCTCTCCTGTCCTCCACGTTTCTCTCTGCTCCTCCCTCTCCTGTCCTCCACGTTTTCTCTTCTCCTCCCTCTCCTGTCTCCACGTTTCTCTCTGCTGCTCCTTCTCCTGTCCTCCACGTTTTCTCTCTGCTCTCCCTCTCCTGTCCTCCTCGTTTTTCTCTGCTCCCTTCCTCTGTCCTTCCTTGTTTCTCTCTGCTCCTCCTGCTCCTGTCCTCATTACTTTCTCTCTGCTCCTCCTGCTCCTGTCCTCCACTTTTTTCTCTCTGCTCCTCCTTCTCCTGTCCTCCACGTTTCTCTCTGCTCCTCCTGCCTCCTGTCCTCCACGTTTCTCTCTGCTCCTCCTTCTCCTGTCCTCCTCGTCTTTTTCTGCTGCTCCCTCTTCTGTCCTTCATGTTTCTCTTGCTCCTCCCTCTCCTGCCTCCTGTCCTCCCACATTTTTCTCTCTGCTCCTCCCTCTCCTGTCCTCCTCGTCTTTTTCTGCTGCTCTTCCTCCTCTCCTGTCCTTCATGTTTGTCTCTGCTCCTCCCTAATCTTCTGATTGTTCCCGGTTCCCTAGATGATGAGCCGTGGCAGAGACTCAACGCTTACATCATCCATGACACCGCCGACTGGAAGGACCTAAATCTCAAAATTTGTGCTGCAAGTCTATCGAGACTATCACATGACCAAGAGCGCCTCCTACCTCCGAGACATGTGGCCGATCTGCCGGGTAAATATCACGACAGGTGGGTGAAATGTCATTGGCTCAGTGCTTGATGTGTCTGTGATATTTGTCTCCTTAAGGTGGTCATGGAGTCGTCTCTAAGATTCGATCAGGACGGCGATGGTCTGATTGAGAACTCCGGCTTCGCTGACCAGACGTACGACGGTTGGGTGATGACAGGACCCAGGTGAGGGCGGGGGGACAATCAAGGGAGACACTCCCCTGGGAATGATTACCTCGCCATAACCTGAATTTTTTAGATGGTTTTTATATTATCCTATAGATTCTTTATTTTACTAAATTGAAGCCACGTCCTTCCATGAGGGTTTAGTCTGCAGAGAATGCTGGACTTTCCAATCAGAGATGCCCAGCACTGCTCACATGGTGGCCGCCATTGTATAATGACCATCTCTTCCTCATCCCTCTCCCTCCCTTCCACCCCCCTCTCTTTTCCTATCATCCCCCCCCTTCTCCTCTCCCTCCCTCCCGCCCCCTCTTCTTTCCTTTCCTTCCCCCCCATCCCTCTCCTCCCTCCCGCCCCCCTCTTCTTTCCTATCATCCCCCCAGATCCCTCTCCTTCCTTCCCAACCCCTCTTCTTTCCTATCATCCCCCCCCTTCTTCTTCCTATCATCCCCCCCATCCCTCTCCCTCCCACTCCCCTCTTCTTTCCTATCATACCCCCCATCCCTCTCCCTCCCTCCCACTCCCTCTTCTTTCCTATCACTCCCCATCCCTCCCCTCCCCCCCCCCCTTCTTTCCTATCACTCCCCATCCCTCTCCCTCCCTCCGCCCCCTCTTCTTTCCTATCTTTCCATCCCTCTCCCTTCCTTCCCCCCCCCCTCTTCTTTCCTATCATCCCCCCTTCTCCCCTCTCCCTTCCTTCCCACCCCCTCCTTCTTTCCTATCATCCCCCCCATCCCTCTCCTCTTCCTTCCTTCCCACCCCTCTTCTTTCCTATCATCCCCCCCCATCCCTCTCCCTTCCTTCCCACCCCCCCTCTTCTTTCCTATCCCCCCCCCATCCCTCTCCCTTCCTTCCCACCCCCTCTTCTTTCCTATCATCCCCCCATCCCTTCCCTTCCTTCCTTCCCCCCCCCCTCTTCTTTCCTATCATCCCCCCATCCCTCTCCCTTCCTTCCCACCCCTCTTCTTTCCTATCCATCCCCCCCCATCCCTCTCCCTTCCTCCCACCCCCTCTTCCCCCTATCCCCTATCCTTCTCCCTTCCTTCCCACCCCCTCTTCTTTCCTATCCTCCCCCCCATCCCTCTCCCTTCCCACCCCCTCTTCTTTCCTATCACCCCCCGCCCCCTCTTTCTTTCCTATCATCCCCCCCATCCCTCCCTTCCCACCCCCTCTTCTTCCTATCACCCCCCGCCCCCTCTTCTTTCCTATCACCCCCCCATCCCTCTTTCTTCCTTCCCACTTCCCCTCTTCTTTCCCCACCCCCCATCCCTCTCCCTTCTTCCCCCCCTCTTCTTTCCTATCACCCCCCCATCCCTCTTCCCATCACTCCATCCTTCTACCTTCCACCCCCTCTCCTTTCCTATAACCTCCCCACCACCACCTCCATCCCTCTCCCTCCCATCACTTCATCCTTCCCCCTCCCTCCCACCCCCTCTTCTTTCCTATCACCCCCCATCCCTCTCCCTCCCGCCCCGTCTTCTTTCCTATCAACCCCCATCCCCTCTCCCCCCCATCACTCCATCCTTCTCCTCCCTCCCTCCCCCCCCTCTCCTTTCCTCATCCCCCCCCCCCCCCCAAATCTCTCTCCTTTCCTATAACCCCCTCCCACTTCCCTCCCTATCATCACACCATCCTCCCCCCCCCCCCCCTCCCCCCCCCCCCCCCAATCTCTTCTTTTTCCTTTCTCCATCACTCCTTCCCTATTATGGCCCCCCCCCCCCCCCCCGTCAGCTCGTACTGTGGGGGTCTCTGGCTGGCAGCGGTGTGTATGACGTGTCAGATGGCGGATCTCCTGGGTGACACCTCCACCTACAATCAGTTCTCTGATATTCTCAGTCGGGGAAAGGAATCCTTTGAGAAGCTGCTGTGGAACGGTAACAATATATTATTATTCATCCCCCCCCCCCCCACACTCTCTGCTGCAATCCTCAGGACATGGGGAGGCTGTGGGAGAAGATGGAGACAGATGATTGAGGGGCTGCCAGACAGAGAGGAAGGCATAGAAAAGAGATGGCAAGGATGAGACTGTAGGAGATGGTTGGTGGGGGCAGAGGTGGGGCCTGTAGGAGATGGTGGGAGGGCAGAAGTGGGGCCTGTAGGAGATGGTGGGAGGGCAGAGGTGGGGCCTGTAGGAGATGGTGGGAGGGCAGAGGGGGCCTGTAGGAGATGGTGGGAGGGGAGGGGGGCCTGTAGGATATGGTGGGGAGGGCAGGGGTGGGGCCTGTAGGAGATGGTGGGAGGGCAGAGGTGGGGCCTGTAGGAGATGGTGGGAGGGCAGAGGTGGGGCCTGTAGGAGATGGTGGGAGGGCAGAAGGCGGGGCCTGTAGGAGATGGTGGGGGCTGACAGGCGGGGCCTGTAGGGTATAGTGGGCTGACAGGAGACGGGGCCTGTAGAATATGGGGGGCTGACAGGAGGCGTGGCCTGTAGGAGATGGTGGGAGGGCAGGAGAAGTGGTCTGTAGGAGATAGTGAGAGGGCAGGGGCGGAGCCTATAGGAGATAATGGGGGGGAAGGGTATGGGGCTTGCCAGTGGTGCAGAGTGGGGGTGGGGTGTAACCTGTAGGAGATAGTGGATGGCAAAGGGTGGAGCCTGTAGGTGATGATGGATAGCAGAGGGTGTGGCCTGTAGGAAATGAAAGGCAGGGGGTGAGGCCTGTAGAAAATGGTGAAGGGCAGAGGGTGGAACCTGTAAGAAATGATGAAGGGCAGGGGGTGGGGATTGTAGTAAAAGGTGAAGGGCAGGGGGTGTGGCTTGTAGGAAATGGTGGATGGCAGAGGTTGAGGTCTGTAGGAAATGGTGAAGGGCAGGGGGTGGGGCCTGTAGGAAATGGTGAAGTGCAGAGGGTGGTCTTGTTGGAGATTAATGGGGGTGGGGCCTGTAGGAAATTGTGAAGGGCAAGATGTGGGGATTGTCGGTGGTGCAGAGTGGGGGGTGTGGCACCTGTAGGAGATTGTGTATGTCAGAGGGTGGGGCCTGTAGCAAATGAAAGGCAGGGGGTGGGGCCTGTAGGAAGTGAGGGGCGGGGGGTGGGGCTTGCCCTTGGGAGAGGGTAGGGGGTAGGACCTGCAGAGGTTGCAGAGAGTGGTGACAGTGACCCTCGGACATTTTTGCTTTTCCTTCTCCAGGAAAGTATTACAACTACGACTGCGGGGATCAGACTTATTACAACAGCGTCATGTCCGACCAGTGTGCTGGTCATTGGTTCCTCCGAGCGTGCGGACTTGGCTGTGGACAGACTGAGGTACGATATTGTTGGGACAGAACAATGCATTCAGCTGGGACTTTGGTCATGTAAGCAGGAGTTGGTTCACCTCTAAGTTTCCAGAGATATGGGCGGAGTCTGGACTCTTGTATTAAATAAACCCAGACGTTGGTCCCCGTGGTCACTTTGTGGTTCTCCATTGTGGAGCTCTCAGGGTTTGGGTAGATCTCATTTGATAACGCGGACCTGTCTTGGTCCTTCTGGTTTGTAGGTGTTCCCCAGCGCACACGTGGTCAGTGCCCTGAAGACAATCTATGAATTGAATGTGAAGCGGTTTGCAGACGGACAGATGGGTGCGGTGAACGGAATGCGCCCGGATGGCAATGTGGATACTTCCAGCGTCCAGTCGGATGAGGTGTGGATCGGCGTGGTGTACGGACTGGCTGCTACCATGATACACGAGGTAGGAGTGCTTTGTTGGGTTGTTGTCCCTCTGGTGTCCATTCGGTATTTTTTGTGGTGATTTTCAGCAAATTACTCGATTAATACTAGAGTAGAGGACTCCGATCTCCCCAATATCTCCACTGCATTGCCTGCTGGTGCTTAGAGTTGTCTGTATGCCAGGGACTAGCCAACCGCATGTCCTTTAGGAAACCCTAAAGTCTTAGCCGGAGTGTAGAAGGTCAGCCACTTTACTGATTGGTCATGCTGGGGCTTACAATTTCATGGCAGCAGGGGATCTAATGGTTGCTTATTGTAGCTTTGTCTCTGTTGGGGGGAGCGTGAGGGAATAGAGTCCCACCAACTAGGAGTCCCACTAACTGTTACTTACACCAAACACTCCATAAAGGTATCTGAGATCCTGTGTGTGAGGTAACTAAGCAGGAAAATGTGTTTATCAAATATCCACCCTTTGACGTCATCTTCTGTGATCTGCATTCAATATGGATATTCATGGCAGGAAAAATTGAGGAGGACATTCATGGCAAGGAAGGTTGGTGGACACACACGAAGGGCAAGGAACACTCATAGTAGGGAAGACTACTACTTGTTGGAGACTACCGTGGTAGAGATGACTGATGAGGGGCAACCATGGCAGAGAAGATAGATGAGGGGCAACCATGGCGGAGAAGACAGATGAGGGAAAGCCATGGTAGAGAAGATTGATGAGTGGCAACCATAGCATGAGATGATAGATGAGGGGCAACCACGGCGGGAGAAGACAGATGAGGGGACAGCCACGGCGGAGAAGACAGATGAGGGGCAACCACGGGGGAGAAGACAGATGAGGGACAGCCATGGTAGAAAAGATTGTTGGGGGACAGCCATGGCGCAAAGACTGATGGGGGACAACCATGGCGGAGAAGATTGATGGTGGACAGCCAGGGCGGTGAAGATTGATGGGGGATAGCCAGGGCGGAGAAGATTGGGGGACATTCATAGTAGGGAAGATTGATAAGGGACAACTATGGTGTTGAAGACTGATGATGGAGAACCATTGTAGAGAACATGGATGGGGACACTCGTGGTAGAGAAGACGGATAAAAACACCTGTGGTAGGGAAGATTGATGAGGGACACATGAATGGTAGCAAATATTGGAGGTAAATGTATATAGATTGATGGAGACTACCATTGTTGGGAAGATTGATGAGAACACCCATGGTAAGATATATTGATGAGGACACATAAATGGTAGGAAAGATTTATGAGGATGGCCAGATAGTGGGAAGATTGATAAGGACACGTGAATTGTAGGAAAAATTGATGGGAACTACCATGGTAGAGAAAATTGATGAAGACACCCACAGTAGAGAAGATTGAAGAAGACACCTGGGGTACAGAAGTTTGATGAGGACACCCACAGTACAGAAAATTGATGGAGAACACCTGTAACAGATAAGATTGAGGAGAACACTTACGGTAGAGGAGATAGAGGACCCTCACAGTAGGGAATACTGATGAGGGTAATCATAGCAGGGAAGACTGAGGAGAACACTTACGGTGGAGGAGATAGAGGACCCTCACAGTAGGGAATACTGATGAGGGTAATCACAGCAGGGAAGACTGAGGAGAACATTTCAGGAGAGATTGTGGAAGACATGCACAATAGGGAATATTGAGGAAGGACTGAGGAGAACTTCATGAGATTGTGGGACATGTACAATAGGGAATATTGAGGAGGACACTTATGATGGGACATTGATGAGGACACACAATAGACATGGAAGGGTGACAGTTGGATACAATGGTCTTTCCAGGATGGCTTAGTTTGGGGGGGTGGGTCAGTTGGTCTTTCTCTTGTTTTTTAGATTCTGCACCAGGGAAGTTGTCTCAAGCTCTTATCTAGAATCCTATATTAAGATGGGTGGAAGGGGACATTTCTGATGTCCATCAGATTTCTTCCTGTCCCACTGGTAGACGGCTATACCTTCCTGTCAGGGCAGAACTTTCTTCAGACACGACACAACTTTGTGTCCCTCAGATATCGGCAGTTTATTGTGATGATGTGTTGTGTGTCTGCAGGGGCTCCTGGAGGAAGGCTTGGCAACGGCAGAGGGATGTTACCGTACAGTGTGGGAGCGGCTGGGAATGTCCTTCCAGACTCCGGAAGCGTATGGTGAGAAGAACGTGTTCCGCTCTCTGGCATACATGCGTCCTCTCAGTATTTGGGCCATACAGCTGGCATTGGATGAACAGGCACGGGGGTGTCCTGCAACCACAATGGGGAAGGACTGCAAGAAAGCCAATAACTGTGTCCTTTCCAAAACCTTTCATATGAAGAGGACTCCAAACTGTGGGATGATAGAGACATCTTCCCTGATCGGATATCAGTCCTCCATACTGTATTTCCACCACTGAACCTGACGTGGGTCTACCGTATTGTATTCCCACCACTGAACCCAGTATCAAACCTCCATACTGTATTCTTACCATCGAACCTGACATTGGTCCTCCGTACTATATTCCCACCACTGACCCAACATCGGTCCTCCAGACTGTATTCTCACCCCTGAACCCGACATCGGTCCTCCAGACTGTATTCTCACCCCTGAACCCGACATCAGTCCTCCATACTGTATTCCCACCGCAGAACCCGACGTGGGCCCTCCGTATTGTATTCCCACCACTGAACCCAATATCAAACTTCCGTACTGTATTCTTACCATCAAACCCGAAATCGGTCCTCTGTACTGTATTCCCACCCCTGAACCCGACATTGGTCCTCCAGACTGTATTCCCACCCCTGAACCCGACATTGGTCCTCCAGACTGTATTCCAACCCCTGAACCCGACATTGGTCCTCCAGACTGTATTCCCACCCCTGAACCCGACATTGGTCCTCCAGACTGTATTCTCACCCCTGAACCCGACATCGGTCCTCCATACTGTATTCCCACCGCAGAACCCGACGTGGGTCCTCCGTATTGTAGTCCCACCACTGAACCCGATGTGGGTCCTCCGTATTCTATTCCCACCACTGAACCCAATGTCAAACCTCTGTACTGTATTCTTACCATCGAACCTGAAATCGGACCTCTGTACTGTATTCCCACCACTGACCCCTACATCCGTCCTCCAGACTGTATTCCCACCCCTGAACCCGACATCGGTCCTCCATACTGTATTCTTACCATCGAACCCGAAATCGGTCCTCCGTACTGTATTCCCACCACTGACCCCTACATCCGTCCTCCAGACTGTATTCCCACCCCTGAACCCGACATTGGTCCTCCAGACTGTATTCCCACCCCTGAACCCGACATTGGTCCTCCAGACTGTATTCCCACCCCTGAACCCGACAATGGTTTTCCAGACTGTATTCCCACCCCTGAACCCGACATTGGTCCTCCAGACTGTATTCCCACCCCTGAACCCGACAATGGTTTTCCAGACTGTATTCCCACCCCTGAACCCAACATTGGTTCTCCAGACTGTATTCCTACCACTGACTCCGACATCGGTCCTCCATACTGTATTCCCACCACTGACCCAACATCGGTCCTCCATACTGTATTCCCACCACTGAACCCCGTTATACTTATCTCTGGGCTCCAGGAAAGACGTGTCCACGCCGTGGTCTTCTCTCATCTACCTCCTCATGTGACCGTCGCCCTCCCAGAGAAGAAGGAGATGTGGAGGAGTGGTGGGACACCCAACTCATGTGCCAGTCCCTGGGTCTTGTCCTGCTGCTTCGTATACGTCAATCAATGCTGCTGTATTGTGCGCCAATCACTGGATGAGCCCGGCCCTGGGGTGTCTACATCAGTATTTGTGGGATATCATCTCCTCGTTTGGCAGCCATCTTGAATACCCCGTGCAATATATTCTGGACAGTTCCTGCAGTCTGCTTGATTCCCCCTCCCCCGCTATACTGGGGTCCTGTATTATATATATTAGGCCTTGTATTATATGAAGGGATCCTGTATTGTATTCGGCTCCTTGTATTATAGAAGGGATCCCATATTATATACCAGATCCTGGATTCCATGTCCGGGCTCCTCCTATATGCTGTATTATATGCTGGTCCTTGTACCGTGTACGGCTCCCGGTCTGATATATTCAGGACCGGCTGTTACACGGGGTCCTGGACTAGATGTGATCCTGTGTAGTAACTTCTATTGGCCAGTAGGTGGGGTGGTGTATTATACAATCTGCCCCTCTCCCCGTATGACCTCCTCCCCCCACCCTAGACTGGCCAAGCATGGATTCCTGTGCTCCACCCTCTGGACTGTATTGTGAGAACGCTGACCTATCGTATTTCATGATTGCCCTCATGTATTATACCCCCGTGGTTGTGTACAGACCCCTCCCCTGTACATGTAGAGGTTGGAGCCATGTGTTGGACGATCGTTGGTTTTATGTTCGATGTATTTTTTATGCCGTGTTCTATGTAAAATGCTCTTGTTGCTCGTACTGTACAGAGTTATTATTGGGGGGGGGCACTGTGTTGTGGAGGTCTGACTGTGGCCCCCCTCCCCTCGTGTGTCTTCCCACCTTCCCTCCGGATCCCCCTCCCCACGTGTCTTCCCACCTTCCTTCCGTCTCCGGATCCCCCTCCCCACGTGTTTCCACCTTCCTTCCGTCTCCGGATCCCCCTCCCCCTCGTGTTTCTTCCCACCTTCCTTCCGTCTCCGGATCCCCCTCCCCTCGTGTTTCTTCCCACCTTCCCTCCGTCTCCGGCTCCCACTCCCCTCGTGTGTCTTCCCACCTTCCCCCCCCCCCCCGTCTCCGGATCCCCCTCCCCTCGTGTGTCTTCCCTCCGTCTCCGGATCCCCCTCCCCTCGTGTGTCTTCCCACCTTCCCTCCGTCTCCGGATCCCCCTCCTCTGCTGTAGGACACGATAAAGCCTCGTTCAATCTGTGGCCAACACGTTACCTGTACAGGCATTGCATGCATTCCGGTGCCGGGACTCCCATAGTTGTCTGTTGGGACGTAGCGGCTGCATGGACCCCACCATTGACCCTTGTTTGGGTACATGCCCCACACCCAGACAGTGCGTTCAGGACTGTGCACCCGCACAGAGGTCACAACTGGAGCTGTGGTTGTGTCCCAATACACAGCTATGGTAGGGGTCTCCAAACTTTCTAGACAAAGGGGCCTTCAGATGATTGAACTGTGGCCATTGGGAGTAGGAGAGCTCCCCGAGGGAAAAAAACACAGTGCTCCATTCTAGTGTCAGTGGGAGGAATTGTACCCCATCATTGGTGTCAATGGAGGGAATTATGGCCGTTGCTGGTATCAGTGGATGAAATCGTGCCCCCAGGGCCGGATCAAAGCAAGAAAAAGGCCACATCCAGCCATCAGGCCGCAGTTTGGAGACCAATGAGCTATGGGATTGTTGGCACAGGGATTCACATAACGCCTGTCAGCCCCGTACCGGTACAACATGGGCCACGGAATAAAACGCCACGTGTGAATAAGACCTAAAACCCCAGAAAATGGCTTGTAGCCCTAGTCACGTATTGGCAGAATTCAGCTCTGACACAGAATAATGAGGTTCTGTAAGGTATGGGAGCCAGGCCGTGTCCATAGCACCTTCCAGCCTCCAACGCACAGACAGAGGTGAGGGAGCCGAGCCGTGTCCATAGCACCTTCCACCCCACAAAGGTGTGGGAGCCGAGCCGTGTCTGTAGCACCTTCCACCCCACAAAGGTGTGGGAGCCAGGCCGTGTGTGTAGCACCTTCCAGCCTCCACCTCACAAAGGTGAGGGAGGCGGGCTGTGTCTGTAGCACCTTTCAGCCTCCCACCCCTGTCCTGTGTCCCCATGACTCGCCTCTCCCATGTGGTATTATACTGCAAATCACCTTTCCCAAGTGGTACTATAGTGTTACCTCCCACCCCCCCTTTCCCTGCGACTCACCTCTCCCATGTGGCACTATATGGCGGCCTCCTACCCCTCTCCCCGTGACTCACCTCTCCCATGTGGCACTATATGGCGGCCTCCTACCCCCTCTCCCCGTGACTCACCTCTCCCATGTGGCACTATATGGTGGCCTCCCACCCCTCTCCTGTGTGCCCGCGACTCCCCTTTCCCATGTGACACTATACTGCGGCCTCCCACTCCTCTCCTGTGTCCATGGCACCTCAAAGAACAAAAGGTATACCGCTCAGGCAGACAATCCACGACAGGAGCAGGCTCCGGCTCACCACCACACATGATGCAACAGGAAGAAGGGTCAGCCGCACCCCGGAGGATAGATGAATATAATGCGTATTTATTGATCCATCGGACACACAAAACACCAGGACATGAATACAGGACTTGTTAAGGCGTTTCACACCATCTCCTGCTTCATCATAACTCCCTTCTCCCATTATACTGTGGCCTCCAACCCCTCTCCCGTGACTCACGTCTCCCATGTGGCACTATATGGTGGCCTCCCACCCCTCTCCCTGTGACTCACCTCTCCCATGTGGCACTATATGGTGGCCTCCCACACCTCTCCCCGTGACTCACCTCTCCCATGTGGCACTATATGGTGGCCTCCCTTCCCTTCTCAACCCCACATTGGTGTGTCCCTGCAGACTTTACCATCTTCCCTCTCCAGTGTGATGGCCTCCGCAGCCTCTCACATCTCTGGTGTGATTGAGCCCTTCCAGCCTACTTTCGGCCAAGGTGGAATGCGTCTCTGCCACCTATTACCCTACCCTCCTCCTTGTGGCCGCTTCCTTCAACTATCTTCCCTGTGCCTGTCACCCCTTCCCACTCTCATGTGGCCATACCTCCACAGCCTCTCACCCCTGTCCTGGGCGGCCCTGTCCTCTGTGGATTCTAGTAACTTGGGATGGTACCCAAGGAGATCACACAGCAAGGCAATGCTCAGCAGGACCAGTTTGACCCAGTTTGGGCCCCAGATCTACAGTCAAAGCTCGAGTCATGAATTCCCCCTTCAGCTGCTCTGAAGTTGCACCGTGACAGACTACCTGACCTCTTCCTGATCCCCTCATCTCTTTCCAGTGAAAGTCTCTCATCTTCAGCAATAAATCTGTTGCACCCGACTGTCTAGGAATACAGAAGCACAGCCCACAAATACACTATTGGTGGCTGAGACCCCGTGGGAGGTGGTCTGATCTGCCTGATATCGGTGAGGTGTGATTGGTACGCCTCCAGTCAGTGTTCACATTGCGCTCCCACTGTAGGAATAAAAGAAGCAGTTGGAATACCATAGAACAGAGTGAACCCAGCTCCATACAATCCCCCCCGGCTCCATACAATCCCCCCCCGGCTCCATACAACCCCCCCCCCATCTACAGGAGACGCTTGCTGCACGTCAAACAGCAACACCCGTCCGGAGTTCTCCATTCCCATGACAAACAACACCCAGCAATGCACATCAGTAAGCAGCCTCAGCCCAAACCCTCCATCCAGCCACCAACACCAGTACAGTAACTAACAATGGGTCGATGTCGTCTGGGGGGGGGGGGACTTTGACCACACAGGCTTAGTTTTTTTTTTCCAGCCCCAGATTCCTCCATGGTGAATGGATGAGAAGTCCCACAACCCCCCTGACATCCCCCCTTCTGAGCGAGGACAAATTTTTGGGTCCCCTTTGACAGAAGTTGATCAAATGATTGACTTCTGTTAGGATGGCCACAAACTTGGGCTGGTCCCTGCAATGTATGGCCAATGGCATGAAATTTAGGGGGGGGGGGGGGGGTACTATCCAAACATAGAAACCAATAATTGCACTCTTGGAGCGTACCATTATTTGTGGTTATTCCACCCCCTGAGGAACGTCAGATCATGGAACGTCTAGATACCGGACGCTAGGCTCACGTATTTGGGTTTTTTTTTCCAGTTGTAGATATATCTCAGGAATGACAAAAGACCGTTCCAATAAAGTTTATTCAATTCAGACGTGACAGAACATACGGAAATATTTACAAGTCTCAGTGCAGCTCATATATCTCTCTATACACCCCCAGAATTACAGGGACCTGCTAAGTGCCTCCTAAACCCCCATCAGTGCAGAGGGACCCCCAGTCTCTCCAACCCAGCTCCATAATATTGGGAAATCTCCGAATATCTCTCTATACACCCCAGGAATCATATGGACCTGCTACGTTCCTCCCAATACCCCCATCATGCAGAGGGACCCCCAGTCTCTCCAACCCAGCTCCATAATATTGGGAAATCTCCAAATATCTCTCTATACACCCCAGGAATCATATGGACCTGCTACGTTCCTCCCAATACCCCCATCAGTGCAGAGGGACCCCCAGTCTCTCCAACCCAGCTCCATAATATTGGGAAATCTCCGAATATCTCTCTATACACCCTGAGAATTACAGGGACCTGCTACGTGCCTCCCAATACCCCCATCAGTGCTGAGGGACCCTGGGTCAGCTCCATAATATTGGGAAATCTCTGAATAATGATGAAGGACTTGTATATCTCTCGATACACCCCAAGAACCACACGATCCACCTATGTGTCTCCTATTACCCCCATTGGTGCTGAGGGACCCCTGGTCTCTCCAAACCCAGCTCTGTAATAATAGGAAATCTCCCCCTAACCCAAAGAATCACAGTCCTTCCAAGTACCTCCTATTACCCAGATCAGTGCTGAGGGACTCCCAAGTCTCTCCAACCCAGTTCCATAGTAATGGGAAATCTCCAAATATCTCTATAACCTCGAGAATCACATGGTCCTTCTAAGTGCCTCCCATTACCCAGATCAGTGCTGAGGGACCCCCAAGTCTCTCTAACCCAGGTCCATATATGGGAAATCTCCAAATATCTCTCTAACCCCAAGAATCACAAATCCCTCCAATCAGTGCTGAGGGACCCCCAAGTCTCTCTAACCCAGGTCCATAGTAATGGGAAATCTCCAAATATCTCTCTAACCCCAAGAACCACATGGTCCTTCTAAGTGCCTCCTATTACCATGATCAGTCTTGAGGGACCCAGCTCCATAATGATGAGGAATCTCTAAGTAATGCAGGACTTGTGTATCTCTTTATATATACCCCGAGAAGCACACAGTCCTCCTATCACCCTCATCGGTGCTGAGGGACCCCTGGCCTCCTTGACCCAGCTCCGTAATAATGGGAAATCTCTGAATAATGTGGGACTTCTATGTCTCTCTATACACGGCGAGAAGCACACAGTCGTCCAAAGTGCCTCTTCTCACCCTATCAGTGGTGGGATCTCCGGTCTCTCTGGCCCAGCTCCATAATGATGGGAAATCTCTGGATAGCGCAGGAATTGCAGTCTATGTACACAAGGCATGCAGGGATTACATTTCATCAGAATGGGTGGGGGGTGATGATGACGCTTCGAGTCTTATCCCGCCAGTTGGATTTGTCTGGCATGACATGCAGCAGTTCTGGCGGACCCGACAATTCACCGCCAGGTCGGGGGTCAGGCTGTCCTTCAGCCGGCTGCGTCTGTTTTGGAAGGTCAGAGGAGGAATTACTGTTAATGGAAGGTTTGGATTCTGCGGTTCCAACGTCTTGGACCTCGGGGGTGTCATTCTGAGCTCCCTGCAGGGACGGGTCCAGGTGGAGCTCTTGACGTGAAAGGTCCAGCAGGGAGTCATCCTGGGGTGGCCCTGTATTGCTTTTCTCCAGAACAATTTCTTGAAGTGTCTCCGCAGCTTCATCCGGACCTGCTGTACTGAGGACGGGAAGGTCGGAGTGGAGATTTCGCAGCTGACGAGAAACAACTGAAAGACAAAGAATCCACCAATACATAAAATAGAGAAAACATGAAGAAAACAACAAACCATCAATGTGACTACAAGGCTGGAAGGTGCTGGGAGCCCAGATGGAGGTCCCTCTGTCCTACAAACATGGACAAGGTCATAAAGATGGTCCAATTAATGGAGACTGAGGATGGGAAGGGTATGGGTTGTGGATGTCACTGAAGTTGCCTAGTAACCAGGTGTGGGGGACATGACAGGTCACATGGTGCCCATTCGCTTACAACCCCAAACCAAACAGTAACTGGGGCAGATAAGGGGGGGGGGGGGACAGACTGCCCCTTTCTGCTTCCTCCTGAGAAGACTTCTCTATGGACACAATCTTCCAGCACTTGTATACTCTACTCATTTACATCTCAGGCCACGCCCTCAAAGCCAACCTGTCACCAGCCTGAGGATACAGCCGGTATCTATGCAGCTCGGAGCACTGAGGGGCTGGAGTAACTTTTAGAACCGAGAACCGATCACAGAGCTGAAGTGGGATCTTCTGGAAGCTGCCGATGTCTGACTGAGCAGCTGTACACCAGTTCCCGGGACACCCCCTCCCCCGCAGAGATGGTGCAGCTTGTGTCAGGTCAGGGATGCTCCAATCACAAAGCAGCTTCATCACAGCTACCATAAAATCCTTTCCCTGAAGTTGGTTGAGGAGCTCAGATACAGTCGGGTTACACTGCAGCCTACAGGAAGACTGAACACTGGCCAACCAAAGAAAAAGTAAGCCAGGCCCTGTATAACCCCTCCTCTACCCAGCATGCCTCAGATTTACAACAAAGCAATACCAAGAGCAGAAGACAGAGGTCTCCAAACTGCAGCCCTGTGCTTGCTTTTATCTGGCCCTTGGGGCACTACTCATCCCACTGACACCAATGATGGGGCACTACTCCTCCCACTGACACCAATGATGGGGCACTACTCCTCCCACTGACACCAGTGATGGGGCACTATTCCTCCCACTGACACCAATGATGGGGCACTATCCTTCCCACTGACACTAATGATGGGGCACTACTCCTCCCACTGACACCAATGATGGGGCACTATCCCTCCCACTGACCACCAATGATGGGGCGCTATTGCTCCCGCTGACACCAACGATGGGGGCGCTATTGCTCCTGCTGACACCTCTAAAGATAGGGCATTGTTAACGGCCACTGACCACAGTCTGCCCCAACTCAAGTCTGAAGAGTAGTAAACTGGCCCTTTGTTAGACAGGTTGGAGACCCCTGGTATAAGAGGAACCCAGAGGGGAGGGAGCTGTCCCCCGCAATGGACTCTCAGAAAAGGATCCTACAGTCAGTACCTTGTTTCTTTCATTCTTGTCCATTGAGGAACACAGGAAATCAGATACAGTTCGGACATCCAAGAGCAGACCAGCTTAGATATGGGGCAACAGGACAAAAACAAGAACAGGCCTCACCAAGAGCTATGGGGACCACTATGAGCCACTTGAAGGACCACACCAAATCTGAACAATAAGACGAAAACCCTACCAGATACGGGAAGATGTCAGCATGACCCAAGGGAAGAGTACGGAGGATCCACCTAACGTCAGGAGGACCAGGATGGAGAGGGGCTCCAAACTAAATGGAACACTGAAACTAAGTCATCAAAAAGCTGATCAACCAGAACCCTCCAACAACAAATTCTCAAATGGGGAAGGAAATGACCTTCAACTGGATGAGCAGAACATAGTATGCTGGGAAAACCCCAGAAGGAAAAGGTCCTAGGTGGGAACCGAGGACATAAAAAAATAGGTCCAGGTGGGAAAGGCCAGCCAGTGTACATGGGAAGGCCCGTGGCCTCACACCCCCCACCATTAGGATCAAGAGGATGGAAACTCTGTGTTTAAAGGGGCCGCCTAGCCAGACAATCTTGCTATGGGAGAACAACCAGAGTATTTATGGTTTCAGCAAAACACAACAGTCCACAAGGAGTGTAAACGGACTACTGAGGGCACTGCAGAATGCAAAGGTTCCTCTCACAAAGGCAACGTGTCTAAAGGAACGTGGTGAATAAGAGGCTTCCGAGACCACTGGAGAACTCAAAGGTTCCTTCCATGAAGTACATGTGACTGAAGGGGTGGGGTGTGTAGGGGGCTCCTGAGATCACTAGAGAACTCCTCCCACAAAGTCAATGTGGCTGAAGGAGTGGGGCGCAGAAGAGGCTCCTGAGAATGCAAAGGTTCCTTCCATGAAGTCCTGAAGTGGGGTACATAGGGGACACCTGATACCGCTGGAGAACTCATCCCACAAAGTCAATGTGGCTGAAGGAGTGGGGCGCAGAAGAGGCTCCAGAGACCGCTGAAGAATGCAAAGATTCCTCCCACAAATTCAACATGGCTGAAGGAGTGGGGTGTATAGGGTACTCCTGAGACCGCTGGAGAACACAAAGGTTCCTTCCATGAAGTCCATGTGACTGAAGGAGAGGGGTGCATTGAAAGCTCCTGAGACTGCTGGAGAACTCAAAGGTTTCTTCCATGAAGTCCTAGAGTGGGGTATATAGGGGACTCCTGAGACCACTGGGGAACTCATTCCACAAAGATGTGGCTGAAAGATTATGGTGCATAGGAGGCTCCTGAGACCGCTGGAGAACGCATAGGTTCCTTCCATGAAGTCCTGGAGTGGGGTGCATAGGGGCTCCTGAGACCACTGGAGAACGCAAAGGTTCCTCCCAGAAAGTCAATGTGGCTGAAGGAGTGGGGTGTATAGGGGCTCCTGAGACGGCTGGAGAATGCAAAAGGATCCTTCCATGAAGTCCTGGAGTGGGATGCATAGAAAGCTCCTGAGACCACTGGAGAACTCCTCCCACAAAGTCAATGTGGCTGAAAGAGTATGGTGCAAAGGAGGCTCATGAGACTACTGGAGAACGCATAGGTTCCTTCCATGAAGTCCTGGAGTGGGGGATGCATAGGGAGCTCCTGAGACCAGCTGGAGACCTCCTCCCACAAAGTCAATGTGGCTGAAGAAGTAGGGTGCATAGGGGGCTCCTGTGACTGCTAAAGAATGCAAAAGGATCCTTCCATGAAGTCCATGTAACTAAAGGAGAGGGGTGCATAGGAGGCTACTGAGACTGCTGGAGAACGCAAAGGTTCCTTCCATGAAGTCCAGGAGTGGGGTGCATAAGGGACTCCTGAGACAGCTGGAGACCTCCTCCCACAAAGTCAATGTGGCTGAAGAAGTAGGGTGCATAGGGGGCTCCTGTGACTGCTGAAGAATGCAAAAGGATCCTTCCATGAAGTCCATGTAACTAAAGGAGAGGGGTGCATAGGAGGCTACTGAGACTGCTGGAGAACTCAAAGGTTCCTTCCATGAAGTCCAGGAGTGGGGTGCATAAGGGACTCCTGAGACCGCTGGAAAACTCCTCCCACAAAGTCAATGTGACTGAAAGAGTGGGGTGCAGTGGAGGTTCCTGAGACCGCTGGAGAACTCAATGGTTCTTTCCATGAAGTCCATGTAACTGAAGGAGTGGGGTGCATAGGGGGCTCCTGAGACCACTGGAAAACTCCTCCCACAAAGTCAATGTGACTGAAGGAGTGGGGTGTAGAGGAGGTTCCTGAGACCGCTGGAGAACTCAAAGGTTCCTTCCATGAAGTCCATGTGACTGAAGGAGTGGGGTGCACGGGAGACCCCCATAAGGGTAGGCAAGAAGAGAAGTCAGAGAAACCTTTCAAAGCATTTTGTGGTGTTGGGGAACCCCTGAAATAATTTTCAGATCTGGGGGTCCCTGGATGAAGTACATTGTAACAGAAGAATGATAATTCATGTTCAAATTTAATTGAAAAAATTCTGATTTTTTGCAGCAAATATTTAGTGTTTCAAACACGTCTGTATCTGTATTGGTGCTCACTGCACCTTGTACTGCGCCGCAGCATATGTCAGCACTATGAGGTACAGATACTGAATGGTATCTCAGGCGCGGCCTATTCTTCCCATTGTGAGGAGGACAAGAACAATGACACGGGTACCATGGGCAGAACAGTGATGGGAAGGATGCCGGTGACATTGATTGTGGGAGGACGGCTGGGGGGTGTACAGGGGACATATCATGGACCTGGAGCTGTCTGGTCATATATTAATCCCATCATCCCCCTCAGACCTGCCAACAGCCGTCCCGTTATATGGACTGTGACCAGTCATGGACAGCAGATCTGGTGACCGAGCAAAGTGCAGGTGCAATCCGCCTCCCCCGCGTCTCACACCCAGGAAAGACAGAATCCAGTCCCAGTGACACCACAGAGTGTGCTCCGCCTTTCCATGCTGTCTTCTCTGCCTCCCCTCAAAGGTTCAGTCAGCCCCCTACAACTGAGGCCCAGGCCCCCTGTCCACATCGTTCCTCCTAGGCTGATCGCTGCTACTCCTCAACCCACTTTGCAACCTCCAGAGGCCAGACTCGTGGGGACCTCTTGTGGAACCCCCGGTTGAGAAACCCTGAGGTAGACCTTTGCTCCAGGTTGGTGAGACAGGAACCAGCAGAAGCTAAAACATCCTGGGACCCTGAGATGCCACTGGGGCCCTGCAGAAGAATACTGTGGAGCCTGACCCTGACCACAGCCGGGGGTCCAAGAAGCTCCTGATCCCCCCAGGTCCAGCGAACCATCAACAGCTGAGGAGTGAAGGGCAGATATCAGCAGAATTGCTAAAAACATTCACCGCAATAGGGGCAGAACAAAGGGAAGGCTTCTGAAGGACCTTTCCTAAAACCCAAAAGGGGGGCTGGAGGAGTCAGTAAAAAAATAGGAGAGGGGTAGGCTGCTGAGGGGTCCCCCCCAACACTCCCACTGTGGGGGAGAAGGGGTCATCTTCCTACTAATAAGGCATCTAAGGGTACACAAGCTGAACAGCCCGGCCCACTGAGGACTGGAACTTGCAGGCTTTAGGCCAGGAATGTGCTGCCTACAAGGATCCACAATTCCTGACTCTTCCCAGGAGGTCATCTGAGAATTCCACAATAGGGACACTAGACAGTCAAAGCCTCAAGAGGCAGCTGTGCCCAGGCAACACTGAGGATCCGGGTCCTTACCCAGATAGGGAACCGCCAGAGCCAGCCCTCGCAGGTCAGAGGTCCCTATGGAGGGGGAGGACACTGAGGGGTACCGGAAGGGGCTTTTCATGATCCAAGGATAGGAAAGAGAGAGCAGGCCCTGATGGGGTACAGCTCTGGGAAACCATATTGACGTATGGCCTGGAGGAAGGGGTCCTGGGTAGATGGGCAAGGTGCCTGATTCTTCTCAGTAACACCGAGGGGACACTGAAGGGGGTACCAGAGGAAAAAAGGTCATCTTGTGCCCCAAAGGGAAAATCACTGCACTGGAATGGTGGAGAGACAACTACCCAACGACCCACCAGGATGCACTCGGAGTGAAGAATACATACGTAAGATCAGAGGAGGAATTCTCGTCATCTGTCAGTAGAATCCTTCGATAACAACACCTCCTACCTTCTATCCATCCAGTGGTTTCCCAGATAAGGTGGGTGACTGGTGGGTACAGGCTGCCCTTTACCAAATTCCCTCTCAAAGAGGAAACGTTCCAGCTCCCTCTGAGGTGGGGCCCTTCAAGGTGCTTCCAGTCCACATAGATTACCAGGGGTAGTAGAAAGGTGTAGGAGCTCTACAAGACCAAACACTGGAGACAGCCGGCTGATTCTCTAAATGTAGGGTGGTACTTGGTCCGGCCTGTTCTAAGGGCTCAGGAAGGTCAGAGACTCTGCAGGGGATGGCTCTATGGCCCCCCCTGTTCTAAGGGCTCAGGAAGGTCAGAGACTTTGCAGGGGATGGCTCTATGGTGCAGCCTGATCTAAGGGCTCAGGAAGGTCAGAGACTTTGCAGGGGATGGCTCTATGGTGCAGCCTGATCTAAGGGCTCAGGAAGGTCAGAGACTCTGCAGGGATGGCTCTATGGTGCAGCCTGATCTAAGGGCTCAGGAAGGTCAGAGACTTTGCAGGGGATGGCTCTATGGCCCGGCCTGTTCTAAGGGCTCAAGAAGGTCAGAGACTCTGCAGGGGATGGCTCTATGGCCCGGCCTGTTCTAAGGGCTCAGGAAGGTCAGAGATAGACTCTGCAGGGGACGGCTCTATGGCGCATCCTGATCTAAGGGCTCAGGAAGGTCAGAGACTCTACAAGGGACGGCTCTATGGCCCGGCCTGTTCTAAGGGCTCAGGAAGGTCAGAGACTCAGAAGGGGACGGCACTATGGTCTGTCCTGTTCTAAGGGCTCAGGAAGGTCAGAGATAGACTCTACAGGGACGGCTCTAGGCCTGGCCTGTTCTAAGGGCTCATGAAGGTCAGAGACTCTGCAGGGGACGGCTCTATGGCCCGGCCTGTTCTAAGGGCTCAGGAAGGTCAGAGACTCTGCAGGGGACGGCACTATGGTCTGTCCTGTTCTAAGGGCCACCCAACAGCAGCTTGAAATTTCAATAGAGAAAAAAAGAAATTCATACAAATGACAGGTTCTCTTTAGGTGTACTGTAAGCTGAGGATCAGAAAGGCCAGAAATGTGCCCTGACAGGCAATGGAGGAAGACACATAATATCCTCATCCTTGGACTCGACAGGATGGCCTCCATCTACATGGCCTGGCAACACAGAGCAGCACTCACCTCCACGATGGCTCTGGTGTCCAACATTCGTCCCAAATGGATACAGACTGGGGAAGAGGATGAGGCAGAAGGAGAGAGCCAAGACCTGCCGGAGAATCACCATCACATGAGTGGGAGCAGAACATGGGGGGGGCACATACCATGACAGACATGAGTGGGAGAAGAACATGGGGGGGACACATATATCATGACAGACATGAGTGGGAGCAGAACATGGGGTGGGGACACATACCATGACAGACATGAGTGGGTGCAGAACATGGGGGGGACACATACCATGACAGACATGAGTGGGAGCAGAACATGGGGGGGGGCACATACCATGACAGACATGAGTGGGAGCAGAACATGGGGACACACATACCATGACAGACATGAGTGGGAGCAGAACATGGGGGGGCACATACCATGACAGACATGAGTGGGAGCAGAACATGGGGGGGGGGGCACATACCATGACAGACATGAGTGGGAGCAGAACATGGGGACACACATACCATGACAGACATGAGTGGGAGCAGAACATGGGGGGGGGGCACATACCATGACAGACATGAGTGGGAGCAGAACATGGGGGGGGGGGACATACCATGACAGACATGAGTGGGAGCAGAACATGGGGGGGGGACATACCATGACAGACATGAGTGGGAGCAGAACATGGGGGGGACACATACCATGACAGACATGAGTGGGAGCAGAACATGGGGGGGGGGGGCACATACCATGACAGACATGAGTGGGAGCAGAACATGGGGGGGGGGGCACATACCATGACAGACATGAGTGGGAGCAGAACATGGGGGGGGGGAACACATACCATGACAGACATGAGTGGGAGCAGAACATGGGGGGGGGGGGACATACCATGACAGACATGAGTGGGAGCAGAACATGGGGGGGACACATACCATGACAGACATGAGTGGGAGCAGAACATGGGGGGGACACATACCATGACAGACATGAGTGGGAGCAGAACATGGGGGGGGGGACATACCATGACAGACATGAGTGGGAGCAGAACATGGGGGGGACACATACCATGACAGACATGAGTGGGAGCAGAACATGGGGGGGGACACATACCATGACAGACATGAGTGGGAGCAGAACATAGGGGGGGGGGGGGGACATACCATGACAGACATGAGTGGGAGCAGAACATGGGGGGGGCACATACCATGACAGACATGAGTGGGGAGCAGAACATGGGGGGGGGGCACATACCATGACAGACATGAGGGGAGCAGAACATGGGGGGGGGCATACCATGACATAGACATGAGTGGGAGCGACAACATGGGGGGGCACATACATGACAGACATGAGTGGGAGCAGAACATGGGGGGGACACATACCATGACAGACATGAGTGGGAGCAGAACATGGGGGGGGACACATACCATGACAGACATGAGTGGGAGCAGAACATGGGGGGGACACATACCATGACAGACATGAGTGGGAGCAGAACATGGGGGGGGGACACATACCATGACAGACATGAGTGGGAGCAGAACATGGGGGCACACATACCATGACATGACATGACATGAGTGGGAGCAGAACATGGGGGGGGGGCACATACCATGACAGACATGAGTGGGAGCAGAACATGGGGGGGGGGCACATACCATGACAGACATGAGTGGGAGCAGAACATGGGGGGGGGGCACATACCATGACAGACATGAGTGGGAGCAGAACATGGGGGGGGGCACATACCATGACAGACATGAGTGGGAGCAGAACATGGGGGGGCACATATACCATGACAGACATGAGTGGGAGCAGAACATGGGGGGGGGGGGCACATACCATGACAGACATGAGTGGGAGCAGAAATGGGGGGGGGACACATACCATGACAGACATGAGTGGGAGCAGAACATGGGGGGGCACACATACCATGACAGACATGAGTGGGAGCAGAACATGGGGGGGGCACATACCATGACAGACATGAGTGGGAGCAGAACATGGGGGGGCACATACCATGACAGACATGAGTGGGAGCAGAAACATGGGGGGGGGGACATACCATGACAGACATGAGTGGGAGCAGAACATGGGGGGGGCACATACCATGACAGACATGAGTGGGAGCAGAACATGGGGGGGGGGGCACATACCATGACAGACATGAGTGGTGGAGCAGAACATGGGGGGGGGGGGGGGGACACATACCATGACAGACATGAGTGGGAGCAGAACATGGGGGGGACACATACCATGACAGACATGAGTGGGAGCAGAACATGGGGGGGGGGGGGGGACATACCATGACAGACATGAGTGGGAGCAGAACATGGGGGGGCACATACCATGACAGACATGAGTGGGAGCAGAACATGGGGGGGGGGCACATACCATGACAGACATGAGTGGGAGCAGACATGGGGGGGCACATACCATGACAGACATGAGTGGGAGCAGAACATGGGGGGGGGGGGGGCACATATACCATGACAGACATGAGTGGGAGCAGAACATGGGGGGGGGGGGGCACATACCATGACAGACATGAGTGGGAGCAGAACATGGGGGGGACACATACCATGACAGACATGAGTGGGAGCAGAACATGGGGGGGGGGGGGGGGGCACATACCATGACAGACATGAGTGGGAGCAGAACATGGGGGGGGGCACATACCATGACAGACATAAGTGGGAGCAGAACATGGGGGGGACACATACCATGACAGACATGAGTGGGAGCAGAACATGGGGGGGCACATACCATGACAGACATGAGTGGGAGCAGAACATGGGGGGGCACATACCATGACAGACATGAGTGGGAGCAGAACATGGGGGGGGGGCACATACCATGACAGACATGAGTGGGAGCAGAACATGGGGGGGCACATACCATGACAGACATGAGTGGGAGCAGAACATGGGGGGGGGCACATACCATGACAGACAGGAGTGGGAGCAGAACATGGGGGGGGGGGGGCATACCATACCATGACACAGGTGGAACAGGAATACGCATATATATGTACATACACTCATATCCCCCCCCAGTATATACAGTTAGGTCCATATATATTCAGACAATTGATTATAATCAGAAAATTAATGTTGATTTGTAATATTTTGTTGAGAATCCTTTACTGGCAATGACTGCCTGAGGTCCGGAACCCATAGAAGTGACCAGAGACTGGGGGGTTCCTCCTTCCTGATGCTTTGCCTGAGGTCCGGAACCCATAAAGTGACCAGAGACTGGGGTTCCTCCTTCCTGATGCTTTGCCTGAGGTCCGGAACCCATAGAAGTGACCAGAGGACTGGGGTTCCTCCTTCCTGATGCTTTGCCTGAGGTCCGGAACCCATAGAAGTGACCAGAGACTGGGGTTCCTCCTTCCTGATGCTTTGCCTGAGGTCCGGAACCCATAGAAGTGACCAGAGAGGAGACTGGGGTTCCTCCTTCCTGATGCTTTGCCTGAGGTCCGGAACCCATAGAAGTGACCAGAGACTGGGGTTCCTCCTTCTGATGATGCTTTGCCTGAGGTCCGGAACCCATAGAAGTGACCAGAGACTGGGGTTCCTCCTCCTTCCTGATGCTTTGCCTGAGGTCCGGAACCCATAGAAGTGACCAGAGACTGGGGTTCCTCCTTCCTGATGCTTTGCCTGAGGTCCGGAACCCATAGAAGTGACCAGAGACTGGGGTTCCTCCTTCCTGATGCTTTGCCTGAGGTCCGGAACCCATAGAAGTGACCAGAGACTGGGGTTCCTCCTTCCTGATGCTTTGCCTGAGGTCCGGAACCCATAGAAGTGACCAGAGACTGGGGTTCCTCCTTCCTGATGCTTTGCCTGAGGTCCGGAACCCATAGAAGTGACCAGAGACTGGGGTTCCTCCTTCCTGATGCTTTGCCTGAGGTCCGGAACCCATAGAAGTGACCAGAGACTGGGGTTCCTCCTTCCTGATGCTTTGCCTGAGGTCCGGAACCCATAGAAATAACCAGAGACTGGGGTTCCTCCTTCCTGATGCTTTGCCTGAGGTCCGGAACCCATAGAAGTGACCAGAGACTGGGGTTCCTCCTTCCTGATGCTTTGCCTGAGGTCCGGAACCCATAGAAGTGACAGAGACTGGGGTTCCTCCTTCCTGATGCTTTGCCTGAGGTCCGGAACCATAGAAGTGACCAGAGACTGGGGTTCCTCCTTCCTGATGCTTTGCCTGAGGTCCGGAACCCATAGAAGTGACCAGAGACTGGGGTTCCTCCTTCCTGATGCTTTGCCTGAGGTCCGGAACCCATAGAAGTGACCAGAGACTGGGGGTTCCTCCTTCCTGATGCTTTGCCTGAGGTCCGGAACCCATAGAAGTGACCAGAGACTGGGGTTCCTCCTTCCTGATGCTTTGCCTGAGGTCCGGAACCCATAGAAGTGACCAGAGACTGGGGTTCCTCCTTCCTGATGCTTTGCCTGAGGTCCGGAACCCATAGAAGTGACCAGAGACTGGGGTTCCTCCTTCCTGATGCTTTGCCTGAGGTCCGGAACCCATAGAAGTGACCAGAGACTGGGGTTCCTCCTTCCTGATGCTTTGCCTGAGGTCCGGAACCCATAGAAGTGACCAGAGACTGGGGTTCCTCCTTCCTGATGCTTTGCCTGAGGTCCGGAACCCATAGAAGTGACCAGAGACTGGGGTTCCTCCTTCCTGATGCTTTGCCTGAGGTCCGGAACCCATAGAAGTGACCAGAGACTGGGGTTCCTCCTTCCTGATGCTTTGCCTGAGGTCCGGAACCCATAGAAGTGACCAGAGACTGGGGTTCCTCCTTCCTGATGCTTTGCCTGAGGTCCGGAACCCATAGAAATAACCAGAGACTGGGGTTCCTCCTTCCTGATGCTTTGCCTGAGGTCCGGAACCCATAGAAGTGACCAGAGACTGGGGTTCCTCCTTCCTGATGCTTTGCCTGAGGTCCGGAACCCATAGAAGTGACCAGAGACTGGGCTTCCTCCTTCCTGATGCTTTGCGAGGCTCTAACTGCAGCTGTCTTCAGTTGTTCTCTGTTTGTGGCTCTTTCTGCCTTTAGTTTTGCCTTCAGCCAGTGAAATGCTCAGTGGGGTGGAGGTCAGGTGACTCGGCCATTGCAGAATATTCCACTTCTTCTCTTTCCTCCTGGGTTGCTTTTGCAGTGTGCTTTGGATCGTTGTCCATCTGTAGCTCCGTCCAATCACCTTTGCTGCATTAGGCTGAATCTGGGCTGACAGTAGATCTGTAAACACTGCAGAATTCATCCGGCTGCTTCTGTGTTCTGTCACATGATCAATGACCACCAATGACCCAGTGCTACTGAAAGCCATGCATGCCCATGCATCACACTGCACTGCCTCCGCCCATGCCATCACACCACCTCCCACCCATGCCACCAGACCGCCCCCGCCCATGCCACCACAGCCCATGCCACCACACCTCCTTTGCCCATGCCACCACACCGCCTCCGCCCACGCCACCACACCGCCTCCGCCCACGCCACCACACCTCCTTTGCCCACGCCACCACACCGCCTCCGCCCACGCCACCACACCGCCTCCGCCCATGCCCCACACCGCCCTCCCCCATGCCACCACACCGCCACCCCCCGCCACCCCACCGCCCACCCACCCACCGCCCCCCCCCCACCACCCCACGCCACCACACCGCCTCCACCCATGCCACCACACCGCCCCCGCCACCACAGTGTTGGGAATGCAACAGCATGTACTATAATGTACTATATATAGTATTTGTGTGTTAATATCACTTGACCAGTAGATGGCGCTGTACACTAATGTTATCAGTTGTGTATATCTGAAAACTTGTTGGTTCTTCCTCTCTTCTCTATCATCTTCAGGAAGTAACATGTCTGCTGAGAAATGTGCTCTGTATGTTTGTAACTTAAGCCACACAAGTAAAGTCATATTCTGCCTCATCACTACCAGTGTCTTCTCTAACACATAACCAACACACACCTCCTTTGCCCATGCCACCACGCCGCCTCCGCCCATGCCACCCACACCTCCTTTGCCCATGCCACCACGCCGCCTCCGCCCATGCCACCACACCTCCTTTGCCCATGCCACCACGCTGCCTCCGCCCATGCCACCACACCTCCTTTGCCCATGCCACCACGCCGCCTCCGCCCATGCCACCACACCTCCTTTGCCCATGCCACCACGCCGCCTCCGCCCATGCCACCACGCTGCCTCCACCCATGCCATCACGCCGCCTCCGCCCACGCCGCCACACCGCCCCCCCACGCCATCACCCCGCCTCCGCCCACGCCATCACGCCGCCTCCGCCCACGCCATCACCCCGCCTCCGCCCACGCCATCACCCCGCCTCCGCCCACGCCATCACCCCGCCTCCGTCCACGCCATCACCCCGCCTCCGTCCACGCCATCACCTCAGCCCATGCCATCACACCGCCTCCACCATGTTGTACAGATGACATTGTGTGGTTTGGATCATGAGCTGTTCTTCTCCACACTTTCTTCTTCCTGTCATTCTGGTAGATTCATCTTCATTTCCTCCATCCAAAGAATGCTTCTCCAGAACCAGAACCGGTCCAGCTTTTCTTCTTCAGGCTTATGAATGGTTTGTACCTCGTGGGGAACCCTCTGTATTTGCACCTCGTGGGGAACCCTCTGTATTTGCACCTCGTGGGGAACCCTCTGTATTTGCACCTCGTGGGGAACCCTCTGTATTTGCACCTCGTGGGGAACCCTCTGTATTTGCACCTCGTGGGGAACCCTCTGTATTTGCACCTCGTGGGGAACCCTCTGTATTTGCACCTCGTGGGGAACCCTCTGTATTTGCTCTCGTGAAATCTTCTCTTGATTGTAGACTGACAATGATACGCCCACCTCCTGGAGAGTGTCCTTCACTTGTCTGGATGTTGTGAATGGGTTCTTCTTTCCCATAGAGAGGATCCTGCGATCACCCACCACTGTTGTCTTCCGTGGACCTCCATGCCTTGTCATGTTGCTGAGCTCACCAGAGCGTTCTTCTTTCCTCAGAATGGACCAGACTGGTGATTTGGCCGCTCCTCGTGTTGCTGCGATCTCTCTGATGGATTGGTGTCGTGTCTGAACCCTTACAATGGCCGGTGTCACCCATATCCATCATAGAACTAGAGCTGGGAAAGGTTTTGGGAAATACCTGAAAAAAACTAAAATTGTGCCGGAGTCCAAATATATATGGAGCAGACTATATGTATATATGGACCGGATTGTATGTGTATATGGAGCAGACTATATGTATATATGGACCGGATTGTATGTGTATATGGAGCAGACTATATGTATATATGGAGCAGACTGTATGTATATATGGAGCAGACTATATGTATATATGGACCGGGACTGTATGTATATATGGAGCAGACTATATGTATATATGGACCGAACTGTATATGTCTCATGACACACGCATGCACTCACCATGACGCAGGTGCTGGCCGCTGTGGTCTTGGTCCCGGTCTGACTCACAAGTGCCTGCAGGTTCCTCAGCTGCTGCAGTAAGGACCTGAACACAGAAACCTCATATCAGACCCTATGGACAGGCTGAGGTCATGTGACCATCACAGACAACACACTGATGTCATGTGATCAGTCAGAGCCAATGATATGTAAAGAGCGAGCTCAAGGTGCCAGTACAAGCGATGATGGACTCACATGTTCTGTTTCTGCAGCTGCTGAACCTTCTTCTGAAGAGCCTGATTGTGAACCGTACACTCCGTCACCCTATAGGGGGCAGATTAATGAACGATTACATACGGACCGTACGCTCCGTCACCCTATAGGGGGCAGAATAATGAACGATTACATACGGGCCGTACACTCCGTCACCCTATAGGGGGCAGAACAAGGAAGGATTACATACGGGCCGTACGCTCCGTCACCCTATAGGGGGCAGAATAATAATGAACGATTACATACGGGCCGTACACTCCGTCACCCTACAGGGGGCAGAACAAGGAAGGATTACATACGGGCCGTACGCTCCGTCACCCTACAGGGGGCAGAACAAGGAAGGATTACATACGGGCCGTACGCTCCGTCACCCTACAGGGGGCAGAACAAGGAAGGATTACATACGGGCCGTACGCTCCGTCACCCTATAGGGGGCAGAACAAGGAAGGATTACATACGGGCCGTACGCTCCGTCACCCTACAGGGGGCAGAACAAGGAAGGATTACATACGGGCCGTATGCTCCGTCACCCTATAGGGGGCAGAATAATGAAGGATTACATACGGGCCGTACGCTCCGTCACCCTACAGGGGGCAGAACAAGGAAGGATTACATACGGGCCGTACGCTCCGTCACCCTACAGGGGGCAGAACAAGGAAGGATTACATGCGGGACGTACGCTCCGTCACCCTACAAGGGGCAGAACAAGGAAGGATTACATACGGGCCGTACGCTCCGTCACCCTACAGGGGGCAGAACAAGGAAGGATTACATACGGGCCGTACGCTCCGTCACCCTACAGGGGGCAGAACAAGGAAGGATTACATACGGGCCGTACACTCCGTCACCCTACAGGGGGCAGAACAAGGAAGGATTACATACGGGCCATACGCTCCGTCACCCTATAGGGGGGCAGAACAAGGAAGGATTACATACGGGCCGTACGCTCCGTCACCCTATAGGGGGCAGAATAATGAAGGATTACATACGGGCCGTACGCTCCGTCACCCTACAGGGGGCAGAAGAAGGAAGGATTACATACGGGCCGTACGCTCCGTCACCCTACAGGGGGCAGAACAAGGAAGGATTACATACGGGCCGTATGCTCCGTCACCCTATAGGGGGCAGAACAAGGAAGAATTACATACGGGCCGTACGCTCCGTCACCCTATAGGGGGCAGAACAAGGAAGGATTACATACGGGCCGTGCGCTCCGTCACCCTATAAGGGGCAGAATATTACAGGTGAAACTGGAACAATGAGACTCTGGTGCCTTCATTCATTCATTCATTCATTCATTCATTGATTTCAGTGCAGCAACTTAAAAGGTGACACTAATATATGAGACTCATTCCATGCAAAGCAAGATAGTTCCAGCCGTGATTTGTCATCATTGTGATGATTATGGCTTACAGCTCATGAAAACCCCAAATCCACAATCTCAGAAAATGAGAATATTCCATGCAATCAATAAAACACGGATTGTACATAGAACAATATCGCACCTCTGAAAAGTAGAAGCTGCATATGTACTCAGTACTTGGTTGGGGCCCCTTTTGCAGCAATTACTGCCTCAATGGGGCGTGGCATGGAAGCTATCAGCCTGTGGCACTGCTGAGGTGTTATGGAAGACCAGGATGCTTCAATAGCGGCCTTCAGCTCTTCTGCATTGTTCGGTCTCATGTCTCTCATCTTTCTCTTGGCAATGCCCCATAGACTCTCTATGGGGTTCAGGTCAGGTGAGTTTGCTGGCCAATCAAGCACAGTAATCCCACGGTCATTGAACCAGGTTTTGGTGCTTTTGGCAGTGTGGGCGGAGCCAAGTCCTGCTGGAAAATGAAGTCAGCATCCCCATAAAGCTGGTCTGCGGAAGGAAGCATGAAGTGCTCCAAAATCTCCTGGTAGACGGCTGCGGTGACCCTGGACTTCATGAAGCACAGTGGACCAACACCAGCAGATGACATGGCTCCCCAAATCAACACAGACTGTGGAAACGTCACACTGGACTTCAAGCATCTTGCAGTGTGTGCCTCTCCATTCTTCCTCCATACTCGGGGTCCTTGGGCCTCTCCATTCTTCCTCCATACTCGGGGTCCTTGTGCCTCTCCATTCTCCCTCCATATTCGGGGTCCTTGTGCCTCTCCATTCTCCCTCCATACTCGGGGTCCTTGGGCCTCTCCATTCTTCCTCCATACTCGGGGTCCTTGTGCCTCTCCATTCTCCCTCCATACTCGGGGTCCTTGGGCCTCTCCATTCTCCCTCCATACTCGGGGTCCTTGGGCCTCTCCATTCTTCCTCCATACTCGGGGTCCTTGTGCCTCTCCATTCTCCCTCCATACTCGGGGTCCTTGTGCCTCTCCATTTTCCTCCATACTCGGGGTCCTTGTGCCTCTCCATTCTTCCTCCATACTCGGGGTCCTTGTGCCTCTCCATTCTTCCTCCATACTCGGGGTCCTTGTGTCTCTCCATTCTTCCTCCATACTCGGGGTCCTTGTGCCTCTCCATTCTTCCTCCATACTCGGGGTCCTTGGGCCTCTCCATTCTTCCTCCATACTCGGGGTCCTTGGGCCTCTCCATTCTTCCTTCATACTTGGGGTCCTTGGGCCTCTCCATTCTTCCTCCATACTCGGGGTCCTTGGGCCTCTCCATTCTTCCTCCATACTCGGGGTCCTTGGGCCTCTCCATTCTTCCTCCATACTCGGGGTCCTTGGGCCTCTCCATTCTTCCTCCATACTCGGGGTCCTTGGGCCTCTCCATTCTTCCTCCATACTCGGGGTCCTTGGGCCTCTCCATTCTTCCTCCATACTCGGGGTCCTTGGTCCTCTCCATTCTTCCTCCATACTCTGGGTCCTTGGTTTCCAAATGAGATGCAAAAGTTGCTCTTATCAGAAAAGAGGACTTTGGACCACTGAGGACAGACCAGGTCTGTTTTTCTTTAGCCCAGGTAAGACACTTCTGACATTGTTTGTTGTTCAGGAGCGGCTTGACAAGAGGAATACGACATTTGAAGCCCATGTCCAGGATCCGTCTGTGTGTGGTGGCTCTTGATGCACTGACTCCAGCCTCAGTCCACTCCTTGTGAAAGTCCCCAACACTTTTGAATGGCCTTTTCCTGACAATCCTCTCCAGGCTGCGGTCATCCCTGCTGCTTGTGCACCTTTTTCCTGACAATCCTCTCCAGGCTGCGGTCATCCCTGCTGCTTGTGCACCTTTTCCTGACAATCCTCTCCAGGCTGCGGTCATCCCTGCTGCTTGTGCACCTTTTTCTTCCACACTTTTCCCTTCCACATACCTGTCTATTAATGTGCTTTGATACAGCACTTTGGGAACATCCAACTTCTTCTGCAATTCCCTTCTGAGGCTTTCCCTCCTTATGGAGGGTGTCAGTGATGGTGTCAGGTCAGCAGTCTTTCCCATGATTGGGATTCCTACTGAACCAAACTGAGCGACCATTTAAAGGCTCAGGAACCCTTTGCAGGTGTTATGGCTGAATGAGCTGATTAGAGTGGGACACTTTGAGCCGAGATTATTCCACCTTTTCACAATATTCTCATTTTCTGATTTTCCCCTTTATATAGGAGGAGTGACCCGATGGAGGGTATATAGGGGGTATCTGGTTACCATGGAGACAGTCCTTGTCCCCTCCCCCCCCAGGCGTTGTATACAAACAGTATATAGAAGACTCACCGGGTCTCCAGGCCGTCCACATACTCCTTCTTCTTCTTGCGGCTCTCTCCTGGGCGGAGCGCTTGTTCCGGATTTTCCTGCGGACGCGTTTCAGGGCGCGCTCCTCCGTCTGTAACCATAGAGATGATTTAATTTCCTGTCCTCATCACATGACCTACAGAGGGCTGGAAATGACAGAACTCCACCAATTAGACATGAGCGGAGCCCAGAATGGGTAGAGGAAGGGCTCGGGGGCCCTTGTAGAGGAGGGTGGAAGGGCTCGGGGCCCCTGGTAGAGGAGGGTGGAAGGGTTTGGGGCCCCTGGTAGAGGAGGGTGGAAGGGCTTTGGGGCCTCTTGTAGAGGAGGATGGAAGGGCTCGGGGGCCCCTGGTAAAGGAGGATGGAAGGGCTCGGGGGCCCCTGGTAGAGGAGGATGGAAGGGCTCGGGGCCCATGGTGACAGGTGAAGAAGTTGGATGTGTGCAGACCTTGGTGAGGTGGAGGTGTTGGGGTAACACGATTCCTTCCTTCTTCAGTAGTCGGGTCTCCTCCTCCGACAGATGGAGTGTCTGAAATACACAGAGTCAGCCGAGAATGTATGGACAACCATTCCCTCACCCCACCCTACGCCCTTCCCAAACCCCGCCCTACGCCCATCCCTCACCCCCCCGCCCATCCCCACCCTGCCCATCCCTCACCCCGCCCTACGCCCATCCCTCACCCCTGCCATCCCTCACCCCGCACATCCCTCACCCCACCCTACGCCCTTCCCTCACCCCGCCCTTCCCTCACCCCGCCCTACGCCCATCCCTCACCCCCCTACGCCCTTCCCAAACCCCGCCCTACGCCCATCCCTCACCCCGCCCATACCCTCACCCTGCCCATCCCCTCACCCCGCCCTACGCCCATCCCTCACCCTGCGCCCATCCCTCACCCCACCCTACGCCCTTCCCTCACCCCGCCCTCCCTCACCCCGCCCTACGCCCATCCCTCACCCCACCCTACGCCCTTCCCAAACCCCGCCCTACGCCCTTCCCTCACCCTGCACATCCCTCACCGCACCCTACGCCCTTCCCACACCCCACCCTACGCCCTTCTCTCACCCTGCACATCCCTCACCACGCCCTTCCCAAATCCCCGCCCTATGCGCTTCCTACACCCCACCCTACGCCCATCCCTCACCCTGAACATCCCTCACCCCCCCGCACCCTACGCCCCCCTCCCCCACCCTACGCCCTTCCCCGCCCTACGCCCCTCCACGCCCCCCCACCCTGCACATCCCTCACCACATCCTACGCCCTTCCCCAAACCGCGCCCTACGCCCTTCCCTCACCACGCCCTACCCTCATCCCTTGCCCTGCACATCCCTCACCGCCCGCCCTACGCCCCCATCTCTCACCGCGCCCTACGCCCATCCCTCACCGCGCCCTACGCCCTTCCCTCACCACGCCCTACCCTCATCCCTCGCCCTGCACATCCCTCACCGTGCCCTACGCCCTTCCCAAACCCCCGCCCTACGCCCTTCCCACACCCTACGCCCATCCCACACCCCACCCTACGCCCATACCTCACCCCACCCTACGCCCATCCCTCACCCTGCACATCCCTCACCGCGCCCTACGCCCTTCCCCACACCCCACTCTATGCCCATCCCTCACCCCACCCTACGCCCTTCCCTTACCTTGCCCTTCCCTTACCCCGTCCTACGCCCTTCCCTCATCCTGCACATCCCTCACCGCGCCCTACGCCCATCCCTCACCACGCCCTGTGCCCTTCCCTCACCCACCCTACGCCCATCCCTCACCCTGCACATCCCTCACCGCGCCCTACGCCCTTCCCAAACCCCACCCTACACCCTTCCCACACCCCACCCTACGCCCATCCCTCACCCTGCACATCCCTCACCGCGCCCTACGCCCTTCCCACACCCCGCCCTACGCCCTTCCCTCACCACGCCCCTTCTCACACGCCCCTTCCCACACCCTGCCCCACGCCCTTCCCACACCCCGCCCTACGCCCTTCCCTCACCCCCCCTCACCCCACCGCCCAACGCCCTTCCCTCACCCCGCCCTACGCCCTTCCTTCACCCCACCCAACTCCCATCCCTCACCCCGCCCTACGCCCTCCCCCCCACCCTCGCCAACTCCCCCCAACTCCCCCCGCCCCCCACCCCGCCCTACGCCCTCCCCACACCCCGTACTACGCCCATCCCTCACCCCTCCCCACGCCCTCCCCTCACCTCGCCCTACGCCCTTCCCCCTCACCCCGCCCTACGCCCTTCCCACACCCCGTACTACGCCCATCCCTCACCCCTCCCCACACCTCGCCCTACACCCTCCCCACACCCCGCATTATGCCCTTACCTCACCCTGCCCTACTCCCATCATTCACCCCGCCCTACGCCCTTCCCTCACCCCTCCCTATGCCCTCCCCACACCCCACCTTACACCATTCCCTCACCCCATCCTACGACGTTCCCTCACCCCACCACACACCCTTCCCTCACCCTGCCCATCCCTCACCCCACCCTAAGCTCTTCTCTCAACCCGCTGTAAGACCTTCCCACACCCTGCACTACCCCCCTCTTCCCAACCCAAGCCCTCCCCCTCACCCCACCCTTCCCTCTGCCAGCACTACTACTGTACATACCGGAGAGGTCAGGAAGTGCACAGAGTCATCCTCATCCTCCTCTTCTTCCATACACAGAGCAATGGGCTCCAAGATGTCCGTATCACACGGCTCCACACAGACATCTAGAAGAAGAAGAGTTCAAATGTACCAAAACACATTACCAAAGTGACAGAAGGGCTGCCCATACTGCCCCAACTGTCCCACCCCCACCAATCAAAATTCAGCATTTACATTACAGGTGTCAATTCTGAGATTGATTTGTGATTGGATAGGATCTATCTGGAGGCTGAGGGAGAATAAAACCAGATCCTAATCATAAAACATGAGACCCGTTGTCAGAAGGTGCTGGAGCTACAGAGGAGAAATATGGAGGACAAGAGCTGGAGAAATGCAGAGGTTCAGCTGCGGTGTCCACAGAGACAATACAGAGGAGGAACATGGAGGACCAGAGCTAGAGAGAACTGCAGAGGTTCAGCTGAGGTGTCTACAGAGAAGATACAGAGGAGGAACAATGAGGACCAGAGCTAGAGAACTGCAGAGGTTCAGCTGAGGTGTCTACAGAGACAATACAGAGGAGGAACATGGAGGACCAGAGCTAGAGAGAACTGCAGAGGTTCAGCTGAGGTGTCTACAGAGAAGATACAGAGGAGGAACAATGAGGACCAGAGCTGGAGAACTGCAGAGGTTCAGCTGAGGTGTCTACAGAGAAGATACAGAGGAGGAACAATGAGGACCAGAGCTAGAGAACTGCAGAGGTTCAGCTGCGGTGTCTACAGAGACAATACAGAGGAGGAACAATGAGGACCAGAGCTAGAGAACTGCAGAGGTTCAGCTGAGGTGTCTACAGAGACAATACAGAGGAGGAACAATGAGGACCAGAGCTAGAGAACTGCAGAGGTTCAGGTGAGGTGTCTACAGAGAAGATACAGAGAAGGAACATGGAGGACCAGAGCTAGAGAACTGCAGAGGTTCAGGTGAGGTGTCTACAGAGAAGATACATAGGAGGAACATAAAGGACAACAGCTGTGGAACTGCAGAGGTTCAGTTGAGCTGTCTACAGAGAATATAAAGAGGAGGAACATAAAGGACAAGAGCTGGAGAACTGCAGAGGTTCAGGTGAGGTATCTACAGAGAAGATACAGAGGAGGAACATGGAGGACCAGAGCTAGAGAACTGCAGAGGTTCAGGTGAGGTGTCTACAGAGAAGATACATAGGAGGAACATGGAGGACAACAGCTGGGGAACTGCAGAGGTTCAGTTGAGGTGTCTACAGAGAACATACAGAGGAGGAACATGGAGGACCAGAGCTACAGAACAGCAGATGTTCAGGTGAGGACTCTACAGAGAACATACAGAGGAGGAACATGGAGGACCAGAGCTAGAGAACTGCAGAAGTCCAGGTGAGGTTCAGATATACCATCAGACTTTAGTATCAGCCGATAGGGATATATAGGCCATAGAGTGTTGACTAAAGAGTCCATGTGGGCCTATGTATGGATGGTTCCTCCAGTCACCCAGGTAGCCAGGTGAGACCAGAGTCCAGGCCTTACCCAAGTCTATGAAGACGTCTCCATCACAGGTCTCGGAGCGCACGCTGTGCAGGTCTCCGCTGTCCTCCTGAAGCATGGAGTAGTTTGTGCTCGCTCTGTACAATGCTGGGGCTGTGAGGAGGAGGAGACGACTCCCAATTCTCCGGAGATGGGACAGCAGCCTGACCCTCAGATATACCGCTGTCACTGGTTGGAGGGGAGGCTGGATCTTCACACAGAGGGCTTCCGAAGAGCTCCGACAGGAATCCCTCCACCGCTGCGTCACAGAAACCCTAAATACAAGATGGACACCGGTCACCCCAAAATCCAGACCAATAGGAGGAGCTAAAACTCTACAGAGGACCTGATCAGCAATGGGGAGAGAGCCATACATATGACCCCAGACCCCTCCCATCAACCTCACACAGGACACTGTAGTGGAAGCACCCCACCCCCCGTGTGTGTCCCCACCATCAGATATCTCACCTCCGTGTCCCCCACAGCCCAGTTCTTCCCGTACTCCTCAGGAACCACCGGAAACACGTCATCCAACAGGAAGTCCAGGAGGTCCGAATCCTCCACCCCACCGAAGTCTGCCAACAGAGACATCTGGAGAAGAGAGAAGGATTAGAGGAGCACCCCCTCATCTCCGGAGAACAGGAACACCCCTCCCCATAATACAAGGAAATACAAAGGAGACAAGGGTGGGGGAGGGGGGATAAAGGGGGGGTTATAGTGGGGTTGGGGGAGGGTAAGTGGTGGCTTGAAGGGGGTATAGTGGGGGGAGGGGCAGGGGATATTTCCTGGTGGGGGGAGGGGCAGGGGATAATAGAGGTAAGGGGTGAGTGGGGGATATTTCCTGGTGGGGGGGGGGGGATATTTCCTGGTGGGGGGGGGGGGGGGGTTGGGGGATATTTCCTGGTGGGGGAGAGATGGGGCATATTTCCTGGTGCGGGGTGGGGGATGGGGCATATGTGGGCATATTTCCTGGTGGGGGAGGGGATGGGGGATATTTCCTGGTGCGGGGTGGGGCATATTTCCAGGTGGGGGAGGGGATGTGGGATATTTCCTGGTGGGGGAGAGATGGGGGATATTTCCTGGTGGCGGATGGGGGATGGATGTGGGATATTTCCTGGTGGGGGATGGATGGGGGATATTTCCTGGTGGGGGGGGATGGATGGGGTGGGGATATTTCCTGGTGCAGGGGTGGGGCATACTTCCAGGTGGGGGAGGGGATGGGGGATATTTCCTGGTGGGGGAGGGTGGGGGATGGGGGGGATATTTAGAGGTAAGGGGTGGGTATATTTCCTCAGGGGTGGAGTGGAAATTTTTGAAAAACGACTTGTCCTGGGACAGAATCGGGGCCCCAATCTACTTGTCCGGGGACAGAATCGGGGCCCCAATCTACTTGTCCGGGGGGACAGAATCGGGGCCCCAATCTACTTGTCCGGGGACAGAATCGGGGCCCCAATCTACTTGTCCGGGGACAGAATCGGGGCCCCAATCTACTTGTCCGGGGACAGAATCGGGGCCCCAATCTACTTGTCCGGGGACAGAATCGGGGCCCCAATCTACTTGTCCGGGGACAGAATCGGGGCCCCAATCTACTTGTCCGGGGACAGAATCGGGGACAGAATCGGGGCCCCAATCTACTTGTCTGGAGATATTAGGAATGTCGGGTTTATGGCGACTTAAACGTGTAATATTTTTATCATTGCGACATAAACTGTTTATCTCCTTCTCCCCTCCCCCGGCTGTCTCCAGCCCCGCCCCTGAGGACTAGCTGGGAGGGGAGAGACCTTGCAGTGTAATGAGCACTGATTGGCTGCTCCTCAGGAAAGAGGCGTGTCCGACTTGTCCCATCGCTGCCAGAGCAGTTTTTACGTTTTTTGAACGTTTATAGAACCATTTTTCGTCCTGAAGACACAAACCCCCCAAACATGAGATATTGCCTGAGAGCCGAGACCCCGGAGATCACAATGGTGGGGGGGTCCAATGTTTTATGTCGCACGATGTTACCACAAAACTAATTTTAGGGCACAAAAAGCAATAAATTCCCCAATTTGTTTGTAAAATATAACAGATTGGGTTGCAGCGAGTACATAGATACCCAACATGTCCGACCTGAAATCGCGTGTTCTCGTGGAATGGCGAGGGACTTCAGTCCCGGGATTTTCTATAGGGGACGCAGGAGGTCTGCTGCTAGAATTATCGCTCTCATCCTGGCGTGTGCGCCGATATGTGACGTGTACCGCGATCCCGACATGTGACGTGTACCGCGATCCCGACATGTGACGTGTACCCGCGATCCCGACATGTGACGTGTACCGCGATCCCGACATGTGACGTGTACCGCGATCCCGACATGTGACGTGTACCGCGATCCCGACATGTGACGTGTACCGCGATCCCGACATGTGACGTGTACCGCGATCCGACATGTGACGTGTACCGCGATCCCGACATGTGACGCGTACCGCGATCCCGACATGTGACGCGTACCGCGATCCCGACATGTGACGCGTACCGCGATCCCGACATGTGACGCGTACCGCGATCCCGACATGTGACGCGTACCGCGATCCCGACATGTGACGCGTACCGCAATCCCCGACATGTGACGCGTACCGCAATCCCGACATGTGACGCGTACCGCATCCCGACATGTGACGCGTACCGCGATCCCGACATGTGACGCGTACCGCAATCCCGATATGTGACGCGTACCGCAATCCCGACATGTGACGTGTGTGGAAATCCACGTTTCCATGTGTAGGCGCCCCAATGTGTGCTTTTACGTTTGTATGTGGGTGGGGGGGGGGGCCTCAATATTTTGGGAGGGGGGGGAGGGGGCATTGGCCATAGGAATCCAACATCCGTTTCCTGATGGATGGGGGAGGGGTGGAGGATATTTCCTGATGGGGGAGGGGTGGAGGATATTGCCTTATGGGGGAGGGGTGGGGAAATTTCCTGATGGGGGGGAGTGGAGGGGGATATTTCCTGGTTAGGGGGAGGGGAGGGGGATCCAATATTTCCTGGTGGGGGGGATATTTCCTGGTGGGGGGGAGAGGCGCGGGATATTTCCAGGTGGGGGAGGGGGATATTTCCTGGTAGGGGGTTATTTCCTGGTAGGGGGATATTTCCTGGTGGGGGGGAGGGGCGAGGGATATTTCCTGGTAGGGGGAGGGGGGTATTTCCTGGTGGGGGGGAGAGGCGGGGGATATTTCCTGGTGGGGGGGAGGGGGATATTTCCTGGTAGGGGGAGGGGAAGCGGGGGTATTTCCTGGGGGGGGAGGGGGTATTTCCTGGTGGGGGAGGGGGTATTTCCTGGTGGGGGAGGGGGATATTTCCTGGTGGGGGGGAGGGGCGAGGGATATTTCCTGGTAGGGGGAGGGGGTATTTCCTGGTGGGGGGGGGGGGAGGGGGGGAGATATTTTCTGGTGCGGGGGAGGGGGGGTATTTCCTGGTGGGGGGGGGGAGGGGGATATTTCCTGGTAGGGGGGGGAGGGGGATATTTCCTGGTGGGGGGAGGGGGATATTTCCTGGTAGGGGGATATTTCCTGGTGGGGGGGAGGGGCGAGGGATATTTCCTGGTAGGGGGAGGGGGTATATTTTCCTGGTGGGGGGGAGGGGCGGGGGATATTTCCTGGTGTGGGGGGGGCGGGGGATATTTCCTGGTGTGGGGAGGGGCGAGGGATATTTCCTGGTAGGGGGAGGGGGCTATTTCCTGGTGGGGGGAGGGGCGAGGGATATTTCCTGGTAGGGGAGGGGGGTATTTCCTGGTGGGGGGGAGGGGCGGGGGATATTTCCTGGTGTGGGGAGGGGGAGGGGCTATTTCCTGGTAGGGGGAGAGGGGGTATTTCCTGGTGGGGGGGATATTTTCCTGGTGTGGGGGGAGGGGCGAGGGATATTTCCTGGTAGGGGGAGGGGGTATTTCCTGGTGGGGGGGAGGGGCGGGGGATATTTTTCCTGGTGTGGGGGAGGGGGGGTATTGGGGGTGTTGGGGAGGGGCGGGGGATATTTCCTGGTTCAAGCTGGAGGGGTAGGGAAATTTTCCTGGTAGGGGGGGGGGTGATATTATTTCCTGGTGGGGGGGGGGGGCGGGGGATATTTCCTGGTCCCGATCTTCTGGGAGGGGCGAGGGATATTTCCTGGTAGGGGGGAGGGGGGTATTTCCTGGTGGGGGGGAGGGGCGGGGGGGATTATTTCCCTGGTGGTGGGGGAGGGGCTATGTGCTCCTCTCTGAGCATACAATTGATTGGCTAGGCTATCGGATGGGAGGGGCTGAGGTAGAGCTCCTCCCTTATGGTATGTGGGTGGACACAACACCCCTGCCCCGCCCCCAATCCTGGAAGAACCATATAGAATGCTTGCTTCCATCTAGTACAGATGTCTGGGGGGTTCGTCTGGGAGAAGATTGGGGGGGTTGTACCACGGCAACCAATCAGATGGGAGTTTTCCATGCTCGCAGTTATCAAGCTGGACTTTATGTAGAAGGCACGTGATTGGCTGTCCTGTGTCATAAAGTGGGGACGCTGGCGCTGTGTGTGGGGAGGTCGGCCGTGTGGGGGGGGAGGGGAGGTCGGGGGTGGGGGGGGGGCGGGTTGTGGGGGGGGGGGGCGGGGGGGGAGGGTGGGGGGGTGGTGGAGGGGGGGGCGGAGGGTCGGGGAAGGGGAAATCACGATGCTCACCTCTCCCGATCCTCTCTGCTTATCTCTGACAATTCATCCCTCACACTTCCGGGTTCCAACACAACACCAATGACCCCACCAGGGGAGCGCACTGCACGCCGGGACATGTAGTTCCTCCTCCCCTCCCAGAACCTTCTGCGCAGGCCGCTGAGCGCCACGTGTACAACCATCGGTTAGCCACCTGCTGTCAAGAGTGCGGAATTCCCACTGCCTGCTGATTGGCTGTGCCTAGAGGTGGGCGTCCGCCATCTTTGTTATTGGCCAATTCAACCGGGAAACTGGGATTTTTATTTTACTCAATCACGTGACGCCTTCGGAGTCATGTGATCAAACGCTCTCCCTGACCTGACAGAGCAACCGATTCCCCCTCCCCCCCAATCGGCCGTCCGGAGAATAATCCCACCCGCCAGGCGACGGACCCCACCACACCCCTCCCATCCCCCATCCCCCCAATTCCTCCATCACCAATCCACCCACCAACAACCCCCCCACACCCCCCCCCCAATCCCATCCCCCCCACCAACCAACCCACCAATCATCACCCCATCATCAACCAACCCACCCCCAACCAACCTCAAAACCCCCATCCCCAAACCCCAATCTAACAAACCATCCATCCCATCCCATCCCCAACCCCCCAAAAATCATCCCCAATCCAAAAACACCCCCCATCAACCCCAACAACCCTAATCACCATCAATACCCCAATCACCATCCCATCATCACAAAAACACCCCCCCCCAACCAAACCACACACCCCCCCACCCCACAAAAAACACCCCAAACCCATCCACCCCCATCACCCACATTCCCCACCCCCCCCACACCCCCCACCACCCCAATTCATCTCCCCCCAACCAACCATCATCCCCCAACCCAATCCCCCCCACCCCCATCCCTAAAAACCCCCCCCCCCCC